CAAGTCAGTATTTATATCTCTCCATCACAGCCAATCTCTCGGTATTCTGGGGGTAAGTTTTAGTTGGTTGTGATTTTTCCTGAAATTTCAGTCATACATATTTGCACATTTTGTGTCTTACAGGACAAGAGGACTATGATCGCCTTAGACCTCTCTCTTATCCACAAACTGTGAGTATTAGTTTTCTTTGTCTTATATTATTTTAGAATGGTAAATCAGTAATGTACCCTGGCTTTCACCCAAAGTACAACAACAAGATTTTATATGACCTTTCCATATAAAGTTGGATTTTCTTCTCTTTGTTTGTGGGAAGAATCATTGTATTAATATACAAGATATTTTTTGGGCCAATGTTAGCTTCAAATTGAAGGAGCCTATGGAAATAACCCTATGAAATAGACAATTATGCTGTGGTAAGGGTGTAAATGATTGTTAAATTATTAAAGTACTGAATTTTCTTCTGTTGCAGGATGTCTTTCTAATATGCTTCTCATTAATAAGTCCAGCTTCCTTTGAAAATGTTCGAGCAAAGGTAAGTTTGGATTCTAAATTCCTGATACAATATTCAATTCAAGTATGTTTCTTCATCAGCTTTCCTTGGCCATTTTGTCATTTTTATCATCCATCTTCAGTGTGCATGTTGAGTTTTTGTCCCTTGTTTACTTTATTTATTTTCATCTCTTTCGTTGGAGTATGTAACATAACTTGGTGTGCCCAGCCTTATTTAGTTCATAGAATATCTTATTGATGAAATTTGATATTTAGTCAAGCTAATCAGGCAATCATTGTTTGTTTGTATCAATTATCGATATCAGTAATTGATTGTTGTTAATCACTCACAAACTGTTACAAGGTATAAAGGGGGTTGCTGTGTTGGTGGGGAAGTATAACAGGGTAATTTAGTATTATCAGCTGAGTTGATAATGTAAATTGGCCATCATGAAGAGTTTCAAAAATGATATTTCAAGCATTAATCTTTTGTCATTTGCTCTGTTAAAGGGCTAATGCTCAAATTGTCAGCTTTGAAACTCTTTATGGTGGCCAATTTATGTTATTAACTCAGTTGATAATTCCAAATTACCCAGTCACCAGGTATTTTTAAATTCATCAACAATCTGCATACTGTCTTTTGACAGTCTTATTGTTTTTTCACTTCTTAAACTACTTTTTACAGTACTGTGATAACTGACTTCTACAGATCATAGTTTTCCCTCAAGAGGTTATGAATTACAATTTATAACCCAGGGTATGTGATATGATAAGAAATTTTCCTTTAAAGAATGTACAACATCACAAAGTTGTTATTACAGATTGGATATGTGATTATGTAGTATAATTAACTTCATGTACAAGGGTTGTGTAGATAAGAACTGTTGTTAGTGACAATGACAGACAAGGTTGATTGACTAATACTAAGGATGATGTAACTTTTGATTTGCAGATTTGCAATGATAACTGTTTTAGTTAATTAATTGTATTAGCCATAGTATATTACCTTAATTTGATTGTTTATCATTCCAGTGGTATCCAGAGGTAAGCCACCATTGTCCCAACACCCCAATCATCTTAGTTGGTACAAAGCTTGACTTACGGGATGACAAGGAAACACTCGAGAAACTGAAAGAGAAGAAGCTGTTACCTGTATTGTATACCGATGGCTTAAAAATGACAAAAGAAATTAGTGCACAAAAATACCTCGAATGCTCAGCTCTTACACAGAAAGGACTGAAAACAGTTTTTGACGAGGCAATCAGGGCAGTCCTGTGCCCAACAATTAAGAAAACAAAGAAGAAAGGTGGATGTCTACTGCTATAAATTAAAGACCGTAGCTTTGGAAAAACAACCAGACAACATGTTATGTGTGGATATTTCCTTGGTTTGGTCTGTTGCTACACATTTCAAGTAATTTGTCCTGAAAAAGGAATTATTAATCTTTTCCTATTAGTTTATATTGAAATGAGAAAACAAGTTGCTATCATGTTTTTTGATGTTCACTGAGTGGCAGTGTCAACTGGGTACATGAAGTTTATTTCTTTTAGTTTTTCGAAGGGTACCTAGATATATGTAGCTTTTGATAGGTCTTCATGGAAGTGATAGCATTCTTGGGCAAGGCTCAAGAAAGCAGAAACATAATTTTCTAATTGCTCTACATAGTGAATTTGTGATGTGAATGTAACAATCAACTTTCAAATATTTTTACGGTTTGAAGATAATTCTGTTCATTTTGTTTTCCACATGTAGTGTTAGAATGAGTGCTCAGATGTATGTTCAGTGATAATACAGCTGTTATTCTCTGTTGTTTTTCAAGTTTTATGTTCCTCCTGCACCAACCTTTTTGTCCCTTCATTTGGAATTTTTCTTTTATCACTAGAAAATAGCACACATGACTGTATGGCTGGCACTGCTTTTACATGATTTTTCTTTAGGAGAATATATGAGATTTACATGCGAGTTTCTTCAGACTGATTGTTATCTTAAGTCTGCCAGCTGTGTAGGCTAGGGCTTGTGTTTTGTAGTTATTAGTTGACAGGGTTCTTGTTTGATAATTGATTTTGTCTAATGAGGATTTATTGAAGTGCTTTTCGTAGTGTCGATGGGAAGGTGGGTGATCATTCAGTTTACTTTGTGCATGGAGAGCAAGAGAATGAGGCTGGATCCCATACACACTGGCAAGCAGCGCTTGCTCTAACTTGTTTACAAACCCAATTCATGCCATTGTTAAATGGAAAGCTGTCATTACTTAAAAGCACAGCTCCTTGTTAGTTTAGTCTTTTACATCTCCTCTAATGATGATTTTTGCATTGGGTTTTGTGAGTAAACTGTGAAAAAAATGAAACAAATTTAATCTTTCAAATTATGATTTTGAAAGTACTACAGTCGTGCTTGGGTGTATCACTCCAGAGTCAGTATATTTTGATTGTTTTGTTATTGCTTTAGTTGATTTAGGTTGCCAGCTGGATAGCTTGGGTGTTGTTCATTTGCGTAAAACTGTCGCTTTAGACTCTTGTTACCCATCCTACATATATATCGGATTGGATAAAGACCATGTACGGACTTTGATTCATTTTCAGGGATCATAACAAGCTAAATCCGAATTTCCATTTTGCTAGTTTGTAAATAAGATATGCCTTCAAATGGCATTAAGACAAGAACTGCTTTTTGGAATGGTCATTTGAGGAGTTGGTCTATTTTGAAGTAGGATGTCTTGATGTATTAAGTTTAGAAGTGTGGATAATCTTCTCTGCAACCTTATAATTTTTTATGTACATCTAGCTCATTGTTTAGGCAGTAACATCTTGTGAAATTCGTGTTATATTTCTACCTTGCATTCAAGATTTTGGCCTTAATTATGTAATAAAAGATCAAGAAATAATGTCTCTTGTTTAGATGAAATCTGGAAGGTGTATGTACAAGTTTCCAGGTTATAGGGCCTCAACTCTCCACACACAAGCTTGAGGCATACAATTACCTTGGGCTGGGGTTTTTAACTCTTTCCTTGTTGCCATTCTACTTATGCTGGCAGGCTCAAATGGTTATGTTTTGCTGTAGAAAAGGACCCAACTGAAAGTACAATTACTCTGGTTAAAGAAAAAAAATGAGACCCTGTTCGGTATTTATTTTCAGAGAGGAAGTTAGTGGTGAGGGGGCTTTTATTCTAAACTGACATCTTCAGTGCTTCATTTTTTCTTAAGGGACAAGTGAACCTTGGAAAATGACTGATTATCGGACAAAATACTGCGCTGTAATATTTATCGGTACTATTTATCAACATATTCAGCGTTACATTTTCTCCGCTTTGTGTCTCTTAATTAATGTTCTATTTTTAGTTCCTCCCCTCTAGAGAGTGTACTTTGGGTAAAATGAGTTCCTTTTGCTTTTCATCTTGGCAATTGCAAGCTAATGATCAACGCCTTCGTTGACCAGACGGAATTAAGTTTTCGTTAATGATGCGATGCTTTATATCATTTTGACTTCTGCAATACAAAATCGCCCTCAAATATCATCGGCACATTTAGAAGAGTAAATTCTGGGCTATTTCGAGGCCCGGCCTATTTCTGTTCACTTTCTGGTTCTATAATGTTATTAATATTTTCTTCCAACTCAGATGGCTTTCTTTAATACTGTGTAAGTGAGGAAGATTGGCTAAAAGGAAAGAAAACCAGAATGAACTATCTGGCTTTCTGGTGTGCCTTAGGTTGAGATGCATTTACAATCATGTAAATCATTTTTCAAAGAGGAAAATATTCGCCAGCTGCAGTATGTGTTAGTCTTCAAGCCAGAAAGAAAGAATAATTTTAAATAATAAACGTGTCGCATGTAAAGGCAATCCTAAACACGGTAGTTATTTCTAAATTCAAAACAATCGACATGTATTCATTTTCTATTTGCTCTTTGATTGTCGTAAATACAACTGAAAAGGTGTCCTGTGTATAACCGACAAAAAATATTTAATATAGTATAGTATCATAATATGGTAGGATATAATTACCCAAGCGATGTGTTTATTTGAGTTGAAGACTCTCTAGGGCATACGAATTAAATCGCTGACCCTTCCTACAAAACTACAGTAATGATCGTTTTCAGATTCGAAGTTTTCATCTTAGGAAGGAAGGCCTTTGTTTCGGAAGTAATATTTGTTAATGGCAAAATAAATTAGATGTGGATTACGAACAGAGCTTTGTTCCTACGAAGTCGAAAGTGTCATAATCACACCATATATAGAGTTTGTTTGCAATATATGACGTCAAACGGAAGCCAATACGAAACAATAGAGGGATCGTCGGAAGCGCCTATCAATGACGTATTTACACTCAATTTAGAGCGTCTAGAGGGGCTTTTCCTTGCTGCTATCTAATTGGCTATAATATTAGCTTATTGTCTTGTCATTAAATGAAATGATTCTCATTGGTTAACGATGACGTTGTTGTCTATCTTAGAAACCAATCAGTGATGAGATTTGCGAAGACGATGCAAATATACTTTGACTCCTCTCTATGTCTTTCGCTTTACCATCCTACTAAACTCGAAGTAGAAAACCTTAGTGAGACATTTTATATATTTTTTAATAAAATCTTAGTCAACGAAAGGCCAATGGAGCTTGAAATACAAGTCGCTGTTAACTTCCTCATCGGCTACCTCGTCAATAAACTGCCACGTCGAAGAGTACAGCTTTTTAACGAGGAGGTTGTGAAGAAACTGACGAAGAAATTTGAAGGCCATTGGTACCCCGAAAAACCATGTAAAGGAAGCGGATACCGTTGCCTCCTTATAACTGACAGCCTAGATCCTGTGTTGGGTTCTGCTGCAGAAGCAAGCGGACTTAGCGCAAAGGATGTGAAAGCCAATTTGCCGGAAAAGCTCTGTCTGTGGATCGACCCACAAGAAGTATCCTTCAGAATCGGTAAGTGCTGTTTGAGCCCAAGGCTAAAGGGATTTTATTTCGCAGCGACTGTTCTTAGATTTTAAATGGTATTTTCTGACAAGTTTCGTTACCCTTTGTTTTTTACTCTTTGAAGGGATTATTCTTTGGTTGATATTGCGAAAGGGATATTTTAGAACGCGTTCGAATACTCGATTGAATAGAGTCACGTAGGGTAACTGCATGCGTAAGCAAATATGAATCCACACGTCTCGAGTTTGCTAAGGACTTGCTTCGGTAAGCATTTTCTTTAGAAGGTCAGGTTCTTTTAAAAAGAGATCCTGTTAGATAATCCCATTTCGTTGTGATCAGACTGTAACCTCGAAATCAATTTTCCTGGCAAATTATCGCCCACGCGTGTACCTTCTACCAAATGTCTTCTTGGTTGTGTATGCATGACTAATGTTTCTTTTCATTTGTTCTTTGTGTAGGCGAACAAGGGTCCGTGAAGACGATCTATAAAGCTGAAAAGAAACCTGAAGCAATCTGTGACGAAACCACTCGCTGGGTGAACCTTTTAAATGGCCACAACAGCGGTAACTCAAACAGCCCAGTTCCATTCCGTAGTCAAAGCCCTCCAAGAATCATGGCGGACCGCTCTTCTCCTGTGTTGTCATCCGCTTCCAGTTCTTCACCATCACCTCCCTTGTACAACTCACAATACATGCCTTACAATAGCTGGAGCGCAGCAGAGGAGTCTTCTTTGTTTAAATTCAGGGCGAAAAGAGCTTCTCCGACATCTCTGTCGCCAAACGCGAAAGAGTTCAACTATCGGACCCCGTGGGACAACTTCAACTATGGAGCACAACAAAACAGTGGGCTGGATACCACTCGTGGCGCGTTCATTTCTTCTTCTTTTTTAGACTGGTTTAATTACAACGAGATTGGAAATTTCAACACTGCTGCCCAGCTACCAATATTAGCCTGAAAAATGTTAAGTGTTGGGTGTGCGGAGTTATACATTGCAATTTGAAAAGGTGTTAAAATAATATTTGTATAGATAACCATAGGAAAAAGATGATGTGAAATTCTTCACAGAAAATTGTAAATTTTTACAAAATAAGTTACAGTATTTCTCCAACGCATGTACATTTGTACAAAAACGTTTTGTTTATAAATATAAAATGTATAGTGTTTCTTAAAAGAGATGTACGAGGTATTTTGTTCTTGTTTCAAAGAAACTCCGAAAAAATAGAGCCACAATGGTGTTGAATTTATTATTGGATTGTATTTAAAAATTTTGAAGAAAGAGGAATAAAGTTTGCATACAATTTATCTATCTGTTTTAATTTTTTTGTCTTGACATCACAACAATTGAGAAAGTGATATGATATGTATTGGACACTAATTTAACAAAGAAATGCTAGAGGATTTTACTCCAAAATGGTTTTTTTCAAGCACCTGCATCATTCGGTTTGTTTGAGGCAATTTTATTTTATTTCTTCAGGGTTTGAGTAAGTTAAGGTGTTTTAAGTTTGGTTGCTTTCATTTATGAACAAGTCAAAACATGTACAAGCTGGGTAAATATCTGGAAGCATTTCATGTTAATGTTCAGCTGTTAGTGTCAAGGATATATTTCTACATTTATTCAATGGGGTTAACATTGTCTACATTTTATACAATGGGGTTATCATTGGTGCACAGCTGTCCTTTTGAGAAGTTAAGGGAACAGCAGAGAAGCTGTGGTTTGCTGAATGTGGTACCTCATTACTTGTCACCTTCAATACAGAAATTGTTGGTTAAATGTCTTTCAAATTGACTGTAACACATTTACTGGTTGGTGGGGAATATTGTCTAGACAACCTGTTTAAACAACACTGACAGTTAATCTTATGGATAGAGAATGATTTGACATTGTGATCGATGATGATAATTGTGTCTTCTTCATGAGTTAAATACACATTAGCTGTTGCATAATGCACATACTTGCAAGGGTTGAAAAGTATGAAACAAAAGAATTTGAAAGATCCAAGAATTTTTAAAGCTACTTTAACACACTCTTGTGTCTGTTTTTGTTCTTGAGCTAAATCATTTTCAAAGGTGCTCAGACGTTTCTCCATACCTGGGAAGAATACTATATTGTGGATGGTCTCCATGTTAGAATTTATTTAAAAGATAGCACTTTCTTTATAACAACTTGTGAATCAAATGTGACAGCTGACTCTCGTTGTGTTAGAATTCCAGGTCTGCTGTATCTAGGGTGTGTTCAGTAGGTAAGATGGCCAAAGAACTGAGAAATTAAGAGAGAAAGTTTTCAATGTAATTTCTGAATTAAAAAGCAAACATTCATCAAAGTGCAAAAATGTTTATGGATTAGTCTTTGAATCAATTTTCATACATACAGACAACCTTAAAGCATACTCCATCGAAATCAAAGCTACAAGCTTGTAGATTATTTATTGGTAGAGTGTGTTAATAGCAAACCTAAGCTGGAAGAGTCATTGTATTCCTTTATTTCATTCTTCACCTAACTTCATTTTACCTTATTGCATTAAGACTACTGAGCTTTAGGAAGCTTCCCTCTTTCTGGGTCATAAAGTGGTGCCAGGCAAGGTGTTACCTGTCTGACAGATCAGGCTGGGAGCTCAGGCATCTTTCAGATGACTTTCAAGTGTTTGTACCACTCAGGTGCTCTGTGATCTTCTCAAATAGCATTGGGCCTCATTGTCTATCCATAACAATGACCCTTTCACCCCTTAAAGTCTCTAGCATCCAATTTCTCCCTACACATTCAGGTCACAAGAAAGGCCAAGGAAATGATCCCAACCGAAAAAGCTTCTGGTTTTTAAATAAATTCTCCCTGTTAGCAGTTCAGAAAATGAATAGAGAGAACTGCAGAGAAAGTGCACACTAATATCACGGGTTTAAAATCCCTTTCCCTCCCCACTCCCACCTACAACTTTCTTTCGCCTTGCTACCACAATATCTTGTACAGCGGCTGATTTCTAATCTCACGCGCATTACTTATTCCTGATTTAAGATGGAAGGCGGCAAATAGTAATAACTGAGGAGCATTAGGGGGAGAGGAACATTTGAATTAAAATATAGATCTCCTGTATAACAAAGATCGGTTTTCAGCTGTACCTTTCTTTAGGTCATTCTCAATTTAACGTAAACAACTAGGTGGTATTTATTCCAAGACAGTAAAAAATAACTTACTAATGAAGGACGTTCGGATATTGTTGGTTGGTGACCGTAAGTAAATGTAGCTTCTTGTTGTTTTGGACTTACGTAACAATAAGCAGAAGTAAGTCATACGTAAATATATATGTATTTATGTTCTTTGAAATGCGTTATATTACAGCTCAAGTTGGAAAAACGTCGCTTATTCTGTCGCTTGTAAGCGAGGAATTTCCTGAAGAGGTAAGCTAAACAAGGCGCGGTATATCCAAAAAGGGCACGACGAAGCTGATCTTCTGTCAATATATATATCTGTTAAAGATCTACATTCGATCCCTGTTTATTTCATGTTTCTCTTGGAATGAACATGCAGAGACCAATTCATAACACAGGGAATGCTTTAGTTGCTTCCTGTACACCTGTGATTGCACAACTTGTTAGGTGCCGAGGAAATGAACATTGACAATCTGCCGCAGTTATTATATCCTCTACGTCTGTGACAATTCGTCTCGTAGCACAGAAGATAAGTTATTCCCAGGTCTGCTACCGTGAGAGGAAAGGGAGCTCTTGATTTCTCTTTACCATAAGGAAAAACATATTGTATGAAATTTTTATTTACATACATGTATAATGTTTCAGGTTATAGGGTAACTGGCATGGTGAGGGAGAAACAAAAAGATTGGGAAAATTTGTTATTGAGCTTCTTTTATTGATATTTGAGCAAAACTTTTGTATGATAGTTTCAATGGCTATCACCATGAGTCTGTTTACTTGCTTTCCTTATTACTCTTCCTTCCAGCTAGTCTTAGGAACAGCAAAAAATATTTACATTCAACCTACTTTGCTGCTAATGAGTTATCTCATTTATAATTTTTGAAGGTCCCTGCGAGAGCAGAAGAAATCACCATACCAGCTGATGTGACTCCTGAAAAGGTCCCAACACATATTGTGGACTTTTCTGGTCAGTAGAATTGTGATCATACATCTTAGAAGGGAGGGGATATCTGTGAAGTGCTGTGGAAACATAAGGAAATGCAAGGGTGTGTGCGTGATGGGGGGGGGGGGGGGTTGGGTGAGGCAGGAGGGTGGGAAAGGTAGGGTAAAACAGTGTGGTAAATGAAGGACATCCTGACCCCTTCTCCTTTCACTAGTTTGTTATCCTTGCCACATCTTTCTACTCAATTTTTTTACTAGCCCCATGCTGTCCTCAATCTTACCAATCCAATATTAAGGCAAAAAGCTAGTCAGGGAGATTTCAGATATGTCCTCCAGGAAAAAGATGTAATTCCTTTTATTTTGTCTTTTGAAGATGGGTACCCTTTTTTTTTTACCAGACCTTGATCAGTCAGAAGATATGCTGATTGATGAGATTGTGAAGGTAATATTCAAAACATGGATAATGGTGCACTATTATACATGAAATGTACATTTTAAAATCTTCCTTTGTAGCATTCCTATAGAGTTCTAAGGGCAAATGTTTCGCTATTCAGGGAATGATCATTCATAACCAAAATGCAATCCTGTATTTTTTGGTTTTGATGGCAACCTACCCTTTTTAGCCCTTTCACTTTCACTCCCCTAAATTGATGTTTTTTTACTTCTCCTCATCTTTCTGCCTGAAAATGTATTGATAGTGAAAGGAGAAATTCATTTTTGGTCATTCCTCACTAGGTAAAGGATTAATGATCAAAGTTTTGTCACAGTTATATGTGACTCCAAACCTATTGTTGGATGTGATAATCATTTAGAAATTCAGATATTTATTTCATTTTTTACGAGAAAAATATGATAATTAGTCACAGTCCAATATGATTTGACAGGCCAATGTTGTGTGTGTGGTATATGATGTCACATCAGAAGGATCACTTGAAAGGGTAAGTGTAATCTTATGTCAGTCTGCATTGAAAAAAAATAATAAACATTTCCTAAGCATTAGATTATCTAAGTTACTTTAGATCAAGATTATACTTTTGTCCATATGCCCTAAACTTCCTCAAACACTTGACAATACATACTTTTGATAGTTTTCCAGATATTCATAGGATGTAATGGAAAATTCGGTTTGTCAGCAGTGAAATGATCAACATGAAAATAATTATTGAATAGAAAGCAACAAAGTTTTGTTTAGTTTCATCATTCATGAATATGAATCTGATCATACCATTAAATTATGTAAATTTATTTTGAACTGGGGTTGAAAATCAAGGTAAACAATTATCCTGGCAGGTGAGCTGCAATCTAAATAATTGCAGAAAAGAAACCTGAACAACTCTGGGCTTTGACAGGATTCAAACCCAGGCCTCCTGGTTATTAGTTGGGTGCTACCTACAATTAAGGTATGAAGCCATATGCTGGGACTGGGGCACATTATAGACTAAGGGTTCTTCTTTTGCATGGAGGAATCTGAATCATTGACAGTGAATATCAGACTGTTCTTTACATTCTCTAAGGTACTGATAAGGAGAATTTGTGTAACAATCAAGAGCTCCTTTGGTTGGTGATCACTTCCTCCACTCTTGTGACAGTAAAATTTAATGCAGGGATGATGTGGCAAGGAGAAATTAGATGCAAGTCATTCTAAGGGATCCATGAATTAAGGGAAAGCCTATTTAATAGAAAAATCCATGATGGACGAAATATATTTATTTACAATAAGCCATTTGCTCCACTGTCAACTCAGCTAAACCACTTGATATGAATGTGTGCGGGTTTGTTTGAACAGATTACATCTTATTGGTTGCCACTGATAAGACAAACTGGAGAGGAAGATAGTTCAAAGCCTGTTATTATTGTTGGAAACAAGGTAGTTTAATTGGCATGTTTTTAAGTTATTGCTTTTATGATCAAGACTGCTCTTTGATTTACTTCAGGCCCTTTTTGAAGGTTGGGAGGGGAGGGAGTTCATGGATGTGTTTTAATGTCAAAGAACCTTGCTTAGGTTGCGTCAAATGTTGATACACATGGATACAAAAGAGAACATTAGAAACAACCTCAACCAATTGGCTCTAGTACTTTTCTTTACAAATATAGTTATATTAATTGAGTAACATTCTAACGTAACACTACAATTACAGAACCCTTGTCACCATTGTTGAAACACTTGGCAAACAAACAATAACACCATACTGAACACTATTTTGAACACTGCTTTGCCCTTTGCCTCCATTTTATATGTAAGTTACAAGGTACTTTTACCCAAATTTTCTTTCAAATGAGTTGTTTAAAGTGTTATAATGTCTTTTTATTATTTGTATTTTTTGGTTTACAGTCAGACCTGATGGATGGAAGTACAATGGATGTGAGTGTACATGGGCTAAAAATATACATGGTTGTTACAAAGAGGTCTTTAGGAACCTGAATTTGATTATGAGGGTGATTTTCACATTGATGAACACTACTTAAGCAGTAGTGAAAGTAAGGCTTGGAAAAAAAAATCAAAACATCTAGGCTAGTATGGAAGTTGAATGCATGACCTTTACGATACCAGTGCAGTGCTCTACCAACTGAGCTAACAAGCCAACTGGGAGCTGGTCATTTTGTTGGTTCATAATAAAACTGTGAAGTGATGAATGAATAACTTTGAAGATATGAATATTATAATTACTGGTATGTGAACTGCAGATTGATAATTTAGAATGAATATGATAGTGATCTTTACATAGGCCTGAGGATATAGAGGAATAATTCATGGTAATCACGAAAGATGAAAGTAAAATGTTTGAAATATAAAAGGTGACTCAAGATTTAATTTTTGAAAGCATTTGATAGGCTACCATAAAGTCCCTGAATTAAGAAAATTTTGCATTACTTTTTTGTATCAAAAATGAAACAAAAAAATGGCAGGTCATTGTATACTTGAGATGTTTTTAGTGTTTAGTAAACCACTCTGATGCATCAGACATCTGTTTGTTTCTGTGGCATGAAATTGTGTTGAAAGTATCTTGTAATTTGTTCAAGTCTTATGAAATTATTTCAACTAGTTCCTTATGTAACTGCATTGTTCAAGGGGAAAGTAATCTGTAATTTAACTCTGATGAAGGGGTAATGCTCTCAACATCAGGTTGAGAAACTCTTTATGGTGGCCAGTTTACGTGATCAACTTGGTTGATTAGATCAAATTAACATGTAATTATACCATTTTGATCTAGTTGGTTTAAGTATTTGTGATTTTCTTTTTTTTTTTTTAATAGACTGTCTTACCAATAATGAATGATTACACTGAAGTGGAAACTTGTGTTGAGGTTAGCATCTGTCAGTTGCAAAAGTTAAATTATTCACTTGAGATACTTTAATGAGTCATTACTATGGTAGGTTAAAGACAAACCTTATGAAAAATGTGGCAATTGTGTTTTGTACTTCAGTGCTCAGCAAAGGATCTGAAAAATATATCTGAGATGTTTTACTATGCACAGAAGGCAGTCCTCCATCCTACTGCTCCTCTCTTCTCTGCTGAAACCAAGGAGGTCCGTATCAACAGTAGGTTCCTCCTAAAAATGATTCATTTATAATTGAACAAAGTACTTTTTAAACAAACATTGAATACTCAGAAGATAATTATGATGAATAAGTAAGAAATCTGAAAGAAAGGATGAATAAGTAAGAAATGTGAAAAAAGGATGAATAAGAGTAGTTATGTGGTATATTTTTTAACCTTTGGATTGTGAGAATAGCCATGTGAAAAATTGTGTGGATCTGCATCAATCTACTTTTTTCTGCCAATTATTAAGAGACAGTTGTTCATTTTTGTTGTCTTGTTTGTTGCAGTTAAAACCATTATGCCAGGCTGCTCTCACAAGAGTTTTTAAGGTACCTTTAAAGTATTCCTCTGTATAAATTTAAATTTATGATATTTTTGTCTTTAATTGGCAATTAAAAAGAAATAACACTTACAAAACTTATCCCTTCTTTCATTTTGTAGATATCAGATAAGGATAATGATGGCTTACTGAGTGACAATGAATTGAATGAGTTCCAGGTTAGTTAGCCCTGATTGGTTTAAAACTTATTGTGTGTTGCACTGATAAAGCCACAGAAAAATGAGGTTTATTTTTTAATAGCAATAGAACACACTTTCTATCAGTTTAGTGGTGTTAACAGCCCTCTTAGGAGAACACTTAAAAAAGTGTGTAGATCACTTGCCTCTGGTTTGTAATTTTTCTGTGTGGCCCTACAGCTTTTTTGAACTATAAGGTCTGTCAATCAAAGAGCCACTCTGTGGATGTCACTATGATTATCACTTCTCTTTGTTTTTATTATCATAAACATCTGATTGAAGCCAGAGGATGGGAACATGGGCTTTTACCATTTTTTGAACCATTGTATTGGTCTTAATCCTCTCTCTGTTACAATTTATCCATAGAATCGATGTTTCAATACCCCTCTGCAAGGACAAGGTTTACAAGATGTTAAAAATGTAGTCAGGAAGAATGTTGAGGGAGGATTACAAGATGGTGGACTTACACTAAAAGGTAACACACATAAAGTGGTCCAGAGTTTTTTCCTTAGACTAACCCTCGTGTTCTTATACAATTGTAGAAGCTTTTGCCTACAACATGAACCCAAACATCTCATAGTGAGCATTTCCACCCAGACATGGTCCATAACATTAGCTTTGGGTACTATTTGACAATATTCACCTCACTTTCAATCAATAATTGTTAAGCATTTTTTGTAGGTTTCCTGTTTCTTCACACACTCTTTATCCAGAGGGGGAGACATGAAACAACATGGACTGTTCTCAGAAAGTTTGGATATGGTGATGATCTTAAGCTCAGACCTGATTATTTGTGTCTTACGTAAGTTGACATGAATTTGTTAGATTGTATTAGGTAATGACTAGTTTTCCCTCAGCAGTGGTAACAGCAAAAGGCTTGAGAGAATTGGGTAATAAATTAAGTGATATTTTCACAAAGAACTCAATTAGTTGTGAATTCCAGAGAAATCAAGCTTTCCAAATATTTGATATTGTTACAGGATTGACATGGGGGCAGATCAAACAGTGGAATTATCAGATGCAGGATATCAGTTTCTTATTGACCTCTTCCAGAGACATGACAAGGTGTGTATGAATTCCACTGAGAGTTTGCAAGGCATGATTGTACAGGTAAAGGGAGACAGTATAATACTGTGTAAAGATAAATTATGATAAGAATTGGGACTCACTGGAGTTGAATTTTGCTTGATTTATTGAAAAAAACACTAGGCAACTGATATTTAATTTCATGATTTCTGTTGCCTATGGACCAAACTTGCTCATGTCACTGTAGATTGCTGAAAATCAAGGAACATCTATTTCCAGTGATTATTATGGGTTGTTTAAAGATAGAGCCCCTCACAATGACCATGATTCCAGGATTAACTAACACCTTTATTTGTCTCTAGGATGAAGATGAAGCCCTTTCTCCTGAGGAACTTCAAGTGAGTTGAGGAAAATAATAATGATGAGAACAAATTGAGACAGTTTTTAAAAATGTAATATTCATAATATGGTAGAAAAAAGTTTCCAAATGTCAGATTGTTTTCTGTTTTCTGCTTTAGGCACTCTTTGGTACCTGCCCAACAATGCCTTGGGGTGAAGATGTTCTTAGCTCTGTTGAAACTAATGCCAATGGATGGATAACTCTCCAAGGATTTCTAGCTCAGTGGGCGTAAGTGTTACTCTGAATTCCTCTATTCAACCAAATGTTTAAAAAAAGGGATAAACTGTGAGGCAAATATATGAAGAAAGAAGCAGCTTGACATGGGTAGTTTGTGCTTTGATGCTGTGAGACAGAGACAAACATCAAGGAAGCCATGGGGGATGTCACTTATCTGTTGACTGGGAAACAAATGAACAAGGCTAAATGCTGATATTCATTTTGTTTGCATTTTTCATTCACTGGGTTGAATTTTTAAAAATTTTGAACTTTTGATAAATCCATTATGATGACTATTCTGTTTTAAAAAAAAACCTACCAGACAGTCTACCAATTAATGAAGAGCACAAAAAAAAATTACTTCAGTGGATCTCTTGTTTTCTGTCATCATTTTTTTTAACAAACTTGCAATTTTTGCATTTCCCTGAGGAATATTTTTTCCTTATCATTTGCAGGCTAACAACTTTCTTGGATTACACTAGAATGTTAGCATATTTAGCATTTTTTGGTTACATTCATCAGGAAATTGAAGCTTCCCTTTCTACCGCAATAACAGGTAAAATAAAAAACACATGCTGCCTCACAAAGCATATACTTTACTCAGCCAGTGAGAAATATTAAAGTAATTTTTCATATATCTGGAAGTGAAAAGTGTTGTCAGTGAAGGGCATTCTTGCGTCAACATAAGTGTAATTTTTTAACCAATTTTCCTTTTTAAACATCCATGATTGTAGTTGATGTTTAGATGAATGAAAATAAAGCTGTATTTACTTTAAAACTGAACAAATCAAAAAGTTTAACAATAACCCTCTGACTCCATGTTGTCTACGAACAACCAAGGAACAAAAGTAACTGATTTCAATATCAGCCCTGAATCACACATTAAGATCACGAGAGTAAATAAAATGATCACCAACTAAAGAAGCTGTTGATTGTGAAAAAAAATTCTCCTTGTCACAGAGAACAGTCTGCCTGCTGATATCAAGGTGTAAAGGATTAAAGAAACTGTTTTGACTCCAGAATGATATTAAGGTTACTAATAGACATTGTCATAAGCACTTAACTAAAACCCATTTGACCCTGAAGTATTACTTATAATTATGTCATCCTGCTGCTTTGTAGACAGAAAATTAACTCAACTTGATAGTCTACTAACTAATGTTTTCTTGATTTTTTTTTCCATCTATCTCTTCCAGTCTGTTCCCCTCTTCCTTTTACTCTGGTCTCTTCTGTCTCTCGCCTCATTCAGATGCGAAAAAAGTTACGACTTTTACCTTCCTCTTACTCTCAGTGGGGCCAAGCAAAAACTCAACTGGGTATTTACTACTTGTCAAAAACGTTTGATCCGGAAGTAAATTTTGTTGTAAATTCAATAACCTTAAAACATTTAAAAAACTGATTTAAGTGTGATTATCAGTCAAGTAATCTATTTACTATTTGAGGTGATAATGGCAAGAGTTGAGAAACTTGAAAAAAACACACTTTGATATTGGTTCTGTTCTTTTCATTCCTGTTTCTTTACTTTTCTTTTCCTTTCATCCACTTTGCTTATTTCTTTTTTATTTCTTCTGTTCTTCATAAGTTTTGTGTATGCTGAACAATTATTGATTTCTGTTAATTTTAATTTGATTTTGCTTTCAATTATCCGTTCATTTATTCATCTGTTTCATTATTATTTTGTTTCATGTTATTTGTGCGTGCTAACTGATCTCCCTATATTAATACATGTACAACAAGTGAAATGACAGAGAGTGCTGAGTTGTGGTAAAGACTGTGATCAAGTTTTCTCTTGTTACACAGTTTCGTGCAAGTAATCATAATATTCATAATATGTGTAATTGAAATTCCTAACCGCTCGTAAGCACATGCGAACAGTACTTTTAATTTATTCATTTCCTCTTATCCAAGTTACTCGGAGTAAAGCTGTTGACCTACAGAAGAAACAGACATCTCGCTCTGTATTTCAGTGTTACGTATTTGGACCACCAGGCGTTGGAAAGGTACCACCCTGTTGAGTTAAATTTTACAGCAGTAATTGTATCGTCGAACAACGGCTGTAGAATAACTCTAAAATTATCACCACCATCAGCGCCTTTGTTTGGAGGCTTGGCATATTAACTCCGCCCACACTCCTTTAAATCGTGACGATGGCGGCTTACTTCCTGACGCCTATTCACACCTCGTCAGAAAAAAGGCAGCTAATTAGTGATCATATAAAAGGATCTCTTGTTGCAGCGTTTAGATCACCCCTGATGAAGGCACTAGACAGGAGTGTTGAAACGTTGGGTCTATAAATTGTAACTTCTTTGGTTACATTCATTAAATCTGTAAACCAGAGTAGCATCAAACCATGTCTGGCCGTTACGGTTGTTTGCGCGCGTCGCTGAGAATACGGTGATTTTTCGTGATGCTTCATCTTCATCAGATTTTTTTGTTTTTATTTCTACAGACGTCCTTCCTTCAAGCATTTTTAGGGCGAACCCTTGAGGTGAGGGTGCTATGAATTTCCATTCCTTCTCTTCCATTAACTTGCAGAAACACTCAGACTACATTTACAGACACCAAGGACAAGTCATGCATTAAGTGTTCTTGTTACCAGGCCTTGGCAAACCGTCAGGTGGAGCCCGGCTTGTCTCGGTTGATGCAATACTGGGATGAAAGTCTTCTCAGTAAACAAACACAGAATGCAGCTCAGTGACGGAAGCTGACCATCACTTTCATGTAGCGCCTCTTAAAGGTGTCTGCGCTGTTAAGAGACTCGCCCCTTGTTTATGGTAATCTTTCCACTCTGGAAAACTTCACTAAGTGCTATAGGAATAAACGAAAAAAAAGTCGTTTATGCTTCTTGCAGTTTCTTTCATATCCTACAATTCCCACCACCAAATTATCTTTGTTTCTTTTTATTCTTAGCCTGGCGAATCAGAAAAGGAATTGTCGAATTATGCCATTAATCTACTAGAGGTGAACAGGCAAGAAAAATACCTAGTGGTGAGTAGAAGGACTGAACTTCTTTAAAATTGCGTTATATCGGCACACTCGAGTAGATAAGGTGATGTCTAAGCGTCAGACGGACAAGTTCCCTTTTTGTGAATATGGTTGACTATTATTGTTGTCACTCTCAGTGTCTTTATCACGAATTGATTTTTAATTCGTGAAAACAATTTGTAGATCTCCTTTGTAAGGGCGAAATATTTCCAACGGATTGATGGCCGTCCTCCTCCCAGCAGGTGCCCAATAGTCATTTTCATGATCAGCCGCTTTGATAAACATATTTTCTATGGCAGTTTGTTTCAAGTTTATTCGCTGATATTTCTGATTTCATTTCTTTTTTATTTACTTCAGTTACGTGAAATCGAATGGGAAAATTCTGGATTTCTGTTGCACGACAGACGATGTGATGTGGCCTGTTTTCTTTATGACTCGTCGGATCCAGCTTCGTTTACACAAGTGGTACAACTGCGAGAGGTAATAACTATAGCTTGGTGCTAATAATGTAACACTCCAGAGTTACTGTGGATTTGCCGCTTCCAGTAACTGAAGTGCAAAAAATATTACAAACATGCAAAAGGCTTCATTTTGTACTCGGGGGTCTTAATTCAGTTTTTCACGTAAAATGACAATGTCTAGGCATCGAATTAATTCATATTGTGATATTTTCTAGAAAACTGGGTACGTATTTGTCGGTAGAATCTGATATGTTAGTCTTAATAAGTTTCGGTGTCCTTAGTGACCTGATTCAAGTTTCATGAGGAAGTAAATATTTACCGCCATGGATACTTGGTGCGTAATACAGGTCTGTAGTACTACTGAGGAGCGTCTTACAAAGGGTGTAAAACAAAAGTCAAAAACTTAGTAAGATTATGACTACGATTTATCTTTGTGTGTTTCCAGAAACTTCCCAAAACAGTTCCTTGTATGTTAGTTGCTGGCAAAAGTGAAGGCGTTGCAGCTAAACAGGTAATAATTTCCAGAATTTTCTTTCTGTAAAGAAATTTGATCAGAACTGGGATACAGGAAATAAATCACAATTGATGTGTGAGTATCAAGGCTGACACATGGTGTATTGCATTTTTTCGTAGGATTTTGAAATGCAGCCGTCTTTGTACTGCTCGTTAAACAAGTTACCGCCACCTCAGGTTAGTTATCATTTGGATTTCAAGTGAAAGTTAACAATTGAAACTGTTCATGTGGAATTGTCTTCTCTTGACTTACTTTTACAAATCTTTTAGTTTTGAACAACTATTAGGAAGACTTTGTGAGCCATCGAGAAAGCTGTAAGAATAGCAATGAGCCTCTTTGAAGAAAAATTTAAAATTTTCAAATTAAAAATTTTCAAATTAGCCTAACATTAACAACTGTTTTTGTTTGTGTTCATTTTGCAGCCATTTTCATCCCTTAACAGACCAGACATACACAGAGCTATCTACGACAGCCTCGCCCAAATGGCCGTTTATCCGTAAGTAAAGTGGATCATATGCCAAGGGCAGTTGTAAAAGGGGAGCAAAACTCTTAAGTCATGATTTGCTAACTTGGCTGTAGTAGTTCTAGTAGACTTGACCGGTTCGTCAAGTATGGTAATAGGGTTTTAAAAATAAAGGTAAATACAAAGAAACATGGCAGTCCCCGAATTCTCAGTTAGCAGGGAAAGATCATAACATGTCGTAACATGCAGGCCAACCTGGAGATGAGGTAACTGACATCTCCATTGTCTGTGTTAGTTTCTCGGTTGTTTGATAGAAAATGGACTGAATTCTCGTTTCCTCCCTCGCTCGCATTGCTTCTTCGCTCGTCTTTACAAAATGACTGCCTGGGAGAGGCAAAGATCTTGAAATACCTAGCGTTGTTGCTTTTTGTTTCGTAGGCACCTCTGCGGCCCTAATGCAGACAGTGTGACGTCATATTGGATTATGGCAGGCTTAACAGCCGCGCTCTTAGCAACCGCTGGAATAGTGGTGTTCAGATACTTGAAAAAGGGAGGTTCGACCACGTGACAAGAAACAAAGCGTATTAGGAATATATACTAACAAGGCGTTTATTTTGCCTTTGTATTGAACCACGGAGTTCAAAATGTAAAGAGGTTCTAAATTGAAAAACTATAAGCCAAATGTGGAAACAAGAGGATCAATCATAACAAAGTGGACATATTTTTATTTTCAATGGAATTGTAAAAGTTTCCTTTTTACCCATTATTGTAGTAATGTAGGAGTTTGTGATGTGAGCAATTTTTGTGAATCTCGATCTTTAGCTCGGTTAATTCTCGTATTTGAAACAAAAACCAGGATTGTTTGAATTTGTTTTTCCCTTGCGGACAAGTTTCATTAAGGAGTTCCTCCTTTGTCCGTAGCTGTGTAATATCGTCTAACAACGTTTAAATACCTGTTGTCCAGAAACTTTTAAAATTTAAACATGAAAATATTTTATTTTGTTTTGGCTTGATAATGTGGGGAGTTTTGTAACGGAACACGTAGAAATGTTCAGTTCTCGCTTTCACAATCTCTTGTCCTCGCAGATCAGATAAGTAATTCTCTCTTTTAGCTGTTAGACATACCTTGGTAAGTCATACGAGAATCTGGTGTTATAACAAAATTACACCCTTAAGCTAGCAAGTTTGAAATGTATCGAAATTGTAAAATGTCAACACTCCTTTTTTTCGTGGAGTCTAATGTTTTTTAAACCGCTTTGTTTGCTTTACCTCGTACAGTTCATGAAGCACGAAATATGTATCTATAATATTTCTACTGTTCCGTTACTTTGTAAGTGATGATCATTCATAAATATTCCATAGAGTCCTAAATCAAACTCTTTTTTTCTAAAACTTTCTCCAAACTTTTCTTGCAAGGCGGCGTAGTTTTGCAGAATTAGTGCTGAACACGGCGTCTGTAGCAAAGCCTTAAGATAACATTGCCTCCACTTTGTTGTCTCAGGCCATGAAAGATGGTTCACTACCACTTGATCAAATATTTTCTTCTCGCAGTTCTTGTGAATATCAAAAGCACATTTTTCAGGAAGCTGTTGTATTTCTAAACGAGAAAAGAAAATTTCAGAAGCACGAAAATTGAAAGGCAAACTCGGAAGGAGAAACGTGGTTTTCTTGCTCCCAAGCCTGAATTATACAATAGAATCGATAGTTCACGTTTGGTCGCAGGCTAAATTATCTATCACGAGCTAGACCCAGTCTACCTGTATTTCATTCAAACATATCGATCGCTGAATCGACCATGGGATTCGTAACAAGACATGAAACAATGTCTTTCAATGTCCCCGCCATTGAACTAGCTTAGATCAAAGGATCGACAAGAGGACGCCCCTGTGCCTGAACAATGATAAAAACAAACAAACAAATGATTAAACGAAGTGAAACACATACCTGTAGGATACTCCTTAGACAGCTTCTGTGCAGCAGCTGAAATATAACAGAAAATATTGTCTGATATCCAAGTCTTTTTAAACTTTATGCAAACGCTGGCTGTAGAATGAGAACTTGTCCTACTTCTTTGAACGCGCCGGACAGGCAAGAACATGAAGTTACGGGTGAAAAAATGGATTTTTTTAAGGTTTTACTCACCGGAGTTCTGAATAGAGTCCTGTAGCTTTTGGTAGTCAAGGTCAGGACACATCAGTACTTTATCCACTGTTGCAGACTTGAGGAGAAGAAATCGATCCTGATCTAACAGGTCTCCTGAGCCTTCGCTTTTTTCAAAACATGTTATCGTTTTCTGTATCAAGAGGGACAAGGAAAGTTCTGAAAGCAATATTAATTGTAGATTGAGAGAATTCTCTCACAAATTGAAAATGTTGGTGAAATAAAGTAGAGCAGGGTCTGTGAAGAGGGAAAATTTCTGTACATATACCCCCCTCTGATATGGAAAAGTGATTACGATTCATGGTAGGGCATTCCCCATAGGATCCTAACTTCCTATGCCTGTAGGACCCAGCCCACCCCACCCAGCCCCCTTTCTCCCCCCCATTAAAGAAAAAATATCAGAAACTTACAGACTTGTCCGATATTTTAAAAACTGATTTGGTAGATTTTGTTATGTTGTTACAAATTATATTTTTGAACTGTTAACCGGCTATAACCTTTTCCTTAGTTTTCGTGAGGCTAATTATCTTCGTTTACGTTATTCTACGATCTGCCGAGCATAATCAACGTTTATGAACAAGTTACCGTATAATCGACCTCAATCGAGCAACAGTAACAACTCACTCTTCAGAATAAGCCATCGAGAAAAGTACATAGCAAATGTTTCTAAGGTGTATATCAATTTTGACGGCATCTAGTAAAAATAAACCTATTTTTTTCTTGTTTTTTTTTTTTTTTTTTATCTAAACAATCAAGTACTTAACGACAATCAAAATATACAGGACGGAACTGCTCGTTGATGCCGTAGAAGTCTTCGATTGACTTCGATATGGTCTGATATCCTTTTCAGGCCAGCTTCTACATCGAACCCAAGAGATTACCTGTTTTATTTCGCAAGCTGTATCAGGAAATGGAGGTTCGCCTAAGTCTACCATCAACCGATACTGGATACTGTTACAGTCCTTGATAATGTAAGTCTCTGATTTAGACGTATCAACTGTTGAATAAGCCACATCAAGGAAAAAACTACAAAGTGAGGTTAGCACTGGAAATAACAGAGCAGAATTTGGGCTGACCATCATCTTCGATTCTTTGACTGACTTACAGTTCGTGGGGATTCCTGTATATGCAAGGTTTACTTGTTCAGTCAAGAGTGTCATAACACCTGTTCAGTGATTATTACAAGAAAAATAGAACACCGGTAAATTTCTTGTTGAAGAATACCTCTTCAGATGATGAATGTAATAAAGATCGTGTAATGACGCTTACAGCTGTCAGCAGGATGTTTAGTGCTCAAGAAATTGAATTTCAACAGTGCATAGCATGGAAAACGCCAGTGCCTAAATGAGGCGGTGAAGAAAAACTCTTTGGCCTTCTGGCATACCCTCGACGGCTTTTTGACAAAAAACGATACACGCACAGGGTTCTTTGGCGCGTTGGTAAACGAATTTGAAGTTGGAAAATTTTCCTGCTCTCTAACGGCTTAGACTCAGTGATCTGACTCTCCAGAAAAGTTAGGTGCTAGAATCCGAGTTTGGCTCTAAAGATAACTGCGAGGTAAAAAGCCGTTAGACCATTTAACAACCTCACTGTTTTGTAAAAACTACGGTCCAACTCGACTTACTAAATGAAATAAAGGGAATAAGTTTCTTAAGAAACTGTGGTGCTGCGTTGGTGGGAGAGTATAACAGGGTAATTTAGTTTTATCAACCGAGTTAAAAACGTAAATTGGCCACCATAAAGGGTTTAAAGGCAGAACAGGGGCTAGCGCTCGAAACGTCAGCCTTTAAACTCTTTAAGGTTGCCAATTTACGTTTTCAACTCAGTTGATAACACTAACTCACCCTTAGTAAATGAAATGATTGCGATGTGCAGGCCCACTTCGCACAAACTTGCTTACAGTGTAATCCTACAGGTCTGAGACTTAACAAAGATGTTACCTTGTTGAATTCCAGGTTATTGAGCTTCAGTTAACCCCGTAAAACCTCATTAGTTGACCCAGTGAGTTGACTTTCCCACCAACCAAACAGTTTCTGTATATGCAATTTTGTGTAAGTAATTAATAAGTTCATAGATTTGAAAGGGGGCAAACCAGTCCTGCAAAGGCTTTGTGCTCCAGCCAAAGCAGAGAGTATTAATTATACCAACACTGCAAAGTGGATGCCCAGGGCATGTGCAGCTCTAAACACACACCTAGAAGGTGTCTCATAACCACCTTTCACCGCAAGGGATTAATTGTGTAGTAATCTGAGCATCAGCTTTGCAGGGGGACAAGAAAATTTCCATCAGTGAGAACTGCAACATATACAACCAAGTGAATCCAAAAAAAGGCTTTACACAGAATTTTTCTCTGTTTATTTATAACGATTTCAGTCAGTAGAAAAACCCAAGAAGTTTTCCACCAGTGTGCTTTCTTCTGGCTTCTTCATGATCCATGATGCCACTCGATGTGGTGATCACAAGGTATCTGCAACAACAATGTTGGCATTAAATTAAAAAAGGCAACTATTTTATGAGCAAGTACCCTTGCTGTGTCATCATCTAAGAAACAAGAAACAAATCTTTTCTCTTGCCCACTTGCACAATCAGTCAGTGTCTCCAGTGGGCCATATCCTCACTAAACTCACCTAGAGAGTCACCCTAGGAAATGGATTGCTGCTTAAAACCATTTACCATTTGATGTCACTGGCAAATTATTGTAAGAGCGTAAACAAAGCTTCATTTCAAACCATATAAATTCCTTCTTTGATTCCCAGCCTAGTTGTTTGAAAGGGGGGAAAAACAACCATCCATGCAAATTGCTATCCAACAACAAAAACTACTGGGACATCAAGTGAACTGTAATTTAAAGGGTGGCTGGCACTATTGGCCCTTCAGATACATGGTTCTAAACCTAATGCAATACTGCTGAAGTCTTCCATTTAATCTGAAATACTTTCATCTTGGCAATACTAATACTTACCCAAACTGTCTTGATGGTAGAAGATTGCTTGCCCACTGTTCAATGTCGTGAACTTTCAAGTCATAGCGAGGACTTATGACACCACACTAAAAAAAAAAAAAGAAAACAGTACCAAAATTATTGGTTGATCATATCAGAGAAACTCCTTTATGTACTCTATATGACTGAAATACTGCCCTAAATGTACTTATGAGTATAAAGATATGGATCCTACAAGAACAAAGAACAAGAGGAAAAAGAAACAATCACAGAAGAAAGAGTTTCAAAGAAATCAATGGTTTTGCTTTTCTCTGTAAAGATCATTTATGAAATAAATGAATAAAGGATGAAAGTTTCTAAAGAAAGTGTGGTGTTGTGTTGATGGGAGGTAATACAAGATAATTTTATTTTACGACCTGAGTTGATAATGCAACTTGCTCACCCTTTGAGCACTATCCTTTGCTCAGTTGATAGAACCAAATTATCTTGAATTTATAAAGTAGTTTTCTTCCACTACAAAACAACACTTAGTAAGCAACTTCTGCAATACCTGGAGGAGGTAGCCCAAAATGGCAAATTTTTCATGATGGTTAATTTTTTTTTTTTTTTTAAGTGTTTAAGACTGTTTAGTGCAAGACTTTCATCACTCAAATAATCTCTTTTCACCTCTATCTGTATAGCGACAATACAGTACTAACCTTGTTCAAACGTCCAGTAAGGTTAACAACGATCTTGCCTGATCTGTGATCATCCACAATTTCAAATTCACCAATATAACCTGAGACGAGCAAAATAATACACAAAAACATCAGTTGTGATAGTAAAAGATTATATACTCTTGGGGTGTCAAAAAACCACACACACTCACACATGCCCATTATGCTGTGTGGCACGTAGGGCAGCATTTTTCCATTTCCGTAACATGGGTGTTTTACAGGACAGGGTTGTTAGCCCTGTGCCCAACCCCCTAATCTGGAGGACCAGTGGATTGCACTTCATTAGACCTCTACCCTTCGACCTATCAGGCTTGGATAGCCCTACCAGGAGACAAACCTCCCGCCAGCATAGTTCTAGGGGTCTCCAAGACACTCAAGCCTGCTGACCACGACAAGGTGGCGATCCTTCAAGGGAAAAAACCATACAGAGGGATACAATTCCCACTTTCCCACCACAAATAATATTTTATATTGTTATGCATCAAAATCTATCATATGGTAAAAAGTGCTCAACAAAATATCTCCAACCACAGTTCTTGGCCAAATTGTCAAAATACTGCGCGATGAGAATTTACTTGTACTCCTACAGGTCGTAACCAGGCCGTTCATCTGACCTAGCTGATAGAGAAGAACAGTTTGAAAGCTTGGGTCAAAATTGACACTTTTCTGTGAAAAATCAAATAACGAGAAAAGAACCAAGAGATATGCGAAGGCCATAAGACTGGATTACCTTTAAACTACCCTTGCTGTATTTATATGCAGTATAACCACGTGTTCGAGGAACATTAATGGTAGATTTCTTAAATGCTACTTTGGGGAAAAAACAAAGTTTCGAGTCACTCACCGTGTTTCATCATCACGGTTAAAAACTTGATTATAACCTTCGAGGAGGGCCGTAGAAGAACCTGACGCTTTCCTCGTCTTTCAGCATTGCATATGGAATTGAGAGCGTCGCTTAATACGTTAATTCGCACCATGTTGAATCCTATGATAGAAAACACTTTCGTGTCAGCAGAAGCGTCAAAACAAATCCCATAAAAAGCAGCATTCGATAAAAAAGTAAAAAAATAACGACACAGAACTCAAGAAGAGTTCTTGCTTTATTCAGAGAAGGAGAAAAATATGGGTATTCGCCATTTCAGTTGCGGATGAAGGCAGATTTTTGAGAGATCTTACTCATACCTAGGTGGAAGTTTGCGATCGCAAGAGAGAGAGAGAGAGCGCATTTTAGAGCCTAGACCATAATACAATTCCCGGTTGCCTCGGTTTGAAGTCATGTCCAGTTTCCAGGCGCGGTTCACAGCGGAGCGCGGGTAAACAGAAATCAACAAATGGCTCATCTGAGCTTTCAAGTTTATTAGTGTCAATATTTGAGCTCTATTTAAGGATGTTAAGTTTATCAGATGTACTCTACGTGTAGATGGCAGAATCTTTTCGTTAGCCAGGAACAACGAGGGTTTTTAACTACCTAGCTTCACTACAACTGCAAATGTATGGTTGATCGATGGCCTCTTGGGAAAACATATTTAAGTTATTGTAGTTCACTTGGGAATTTATTCGAATTTGGTTTTCATCACTGGAGAAATAGATGGATGACTGATTGGTAAAAAAAGGTTGACAAGGGATTTTTCAGTTATGATCTGTACAGTTTAACTGTTTTGAGAGAAGTTGTATCACTGTTGTTAGCGTGACTTTTTAAGGTACTGGAAATAGACGTGAATGTCTTACAATGTTTACAAGAGAAAAAGTGAAAGTTGACCCAGCCAAAATCACTAACAAGAAAGGAAGAAAGGGAAAAAGTTCCAAAGCAGCTTGGGAGACGCTTCTTTCTGGCTCCCAAAATGATTCTTCAGGAAACATTAATGGTAGATCACCTTCCCCAGACAAGAGGAATGGATACAAGCATGTGCAATGGTCTGATGATGATGACGATGAAGAAGATGACTATGATAAATATAACTCATCCATAACGCCAAATGCTTCTCTAAACTTTTCTGGTGATCGATCACAAAGTTTTGAAAGCTTGTGGCGGGCTGCAGCTAATGGAAGATCCAGTTCATCTTTGAACAGAAGCTTTGAATCTCAACGCATTCCCATCTCTGACTTTCAGGTGCATACTGGCCAACCGCCAATACCCAAAGAAATTGTTGCTAAAATACGAGAAGGAAGATATATCAACTTTCAGGAAATTCTTCCAGAAAACCTTGAAAGAGAAACTACTGACAGCTACAAATCCATTGATGAGACTGAAAGAGTGGATGACATTACTAAATGGACTGATTGCATGGCTGCTTATATTGCAGTGTTTACATGTGATCATCCCAATCGTATAAGAGACTTATTGGCATATCAGGGTATTATAACTAAGTTATACCGTGAATGCCAAGATAAGAGAGCTTGGCAAAGGTATGATGTAGCATTCAGGCGTAAAGCATCCCAGAATGAACTGAAGAACTGGAGCACAGTGGATGAGAACCTTTGGATTATGGCATCATCTAGGGATGCACGAAGAGCTGTCCTTTGCAAGGCTTGTCTTTCTTTGGCTCATGATCAAGCTTCTTGTCCATTTGTTCCCAAAGAGGAATCTTCAAGAAAGCGGCACTCTTGGTAAGGTTTAATTATCAAATGAAACCTGTTTTAGATTTAATAATTGCCAATCAATTCACCATCATAATTTGAAGTTAATAATAGAATATTTGTCAAAAACTTTGAAAGAATTCCTAGAGGTTAAAAATGTTTCCTGAGAAAGAAGTTTGAAGAAAACTCTGAACTTTTCAAGTGCATGACAAAGCATTTATGTGAAGCTTAACAGCAAAATGCTTTCAGTGTAAGCTGTTCATTTGTTTAATATGTGACTCATAATTTTAATTGCTTCATGAAAGGTTGTCTAAGTCTGCAAAGAGAGAGACAGTGTCAGAGGAAGAGCGTCCACGATCAGTCAGTCCAACAAGAGGAAAGAGGGGTCCTAATGAAGGCCTTGATCTCAAATTTGCATTTGGGTATGTTGGCAATATCTAGTTTTTTTTTTTAGAAGGAACTGCTTTCTAATATTAGTTGAGAGATTTCTGTAGATATCAAGCCAGAGTGCACAACAGATTGGTTGACACATTATTTTCTTTAGCCAGTATCAAGTGAATATATGGAAAAGAACTTCAGAATTTATTATATTTTATCCCTGAAAAAATAATCCTTTTCACAGTCAATGCTGTACAATCAACAGAAACAAAGTTCAATTTTTTCTTGGGAAAGAGGCTGTAAATAAGAGTATTAGGAATGAACTAAACTTGCTAGTACCTGTACTCAAGAAAGCAATTTCAGTGGCATTCTTGAGCTCAGGTACCTAGGTAAGTCAACTATTCACTAGTAGTTTCAGATTGTAGCTAGAACTGTTTATATTAGTTTACAGCTTTTAATCTGGTAGGTCTTGTGCTTTTGTTGCCTCACAGGTATCATGGATACAATGCATGTAACAATTTATTCTACACTCAGTCAAATGAAATAGTATTTCATGTGGCAGCTCTTGGAATAGTATACAGTCCAGCCAGTCATCAGCAGCGCTTTTACAAGGGTCACACAGATGATATTCTGTGTCTGACAATTCATGATGACAAAGACTTTGTAGCTACAGGACAGGTCTCTGAAAGTTAAATGTTTATCATATATATTAGTAATATTATTTGCTTATAGAGCCTAATGAAAATTACATGTACACTGCAGCAACTTTACAAATTTTTGCTGATATCTTCCATTGTTTTCCATTAGCAATTCTTGTATCCACATGTACATCACTGGTTTAGTTGGGTTAAAAAGGCACTAGGGAGGAAATTCCAAGTTTGCCATGTGAGAGCCCTGAAAGTCACAACAATAACAGAAGTCAAAGGAACTTAAGAATAATTTTTGATTGATAAAGAGACTACCTTTAGTTGTGGAATTTCCATCCAGACTTAACCAAACATTTTTATTTATTGCTGCACTTTGTCACTTACTTGTTATTAAAGGTGGGAAAACAGGCAGAGACTCATGTTTGGGATGCCAGTTCCATGAGGACTGTGTCTGTGCTGAAAGGCTTCCACAGGAGAGGCGTCATATGTGTTGACTTCTCAGGTACAGTAGGTTAACAATAATTGTTGCCTATCAAAAGAAGAGTGAAATTATATTTTGTGAGGATTGTGCTACCACCATGTGCATATATTTGCATGCACCTTATTTTCAAATTTTTTAGGTGCTAATGACCAAGAATTAACTGAAGTAAGACATTCTTGATCCTGTACCGGACACAAATTGTTGCTACACTGTAAATGTAGTTGTATTATACTGAAAGCAGTTCTCAGTTGGCTTCAATCTTCTTGATGTAGGAGATGGAAAGAAATTAGCTGATGTGGGCTTGGATGATGACCATAGCATCTGTATTTGGGACTGGAAAAAGGAAGAGAAACTGGCATCAACAAGAGGTCACAAGGACATGATCTTTGTTATTGAATGGAATCCTTTCAACATAAACTACCTGGTGTCTGTTGGAGAGAAGCACATCAAATTCTGGACACAGAAAAGTAATCAAATTTGTGAAATAAGTTTGTCTCCTGGTGATTGAGGAAATATCCAAATGTACAGTATGCAACAGTGTAGTTTATTGGATCAACATAGATGCATATTTATCTTAGATTTTTCACTGTATGCAGATGTGAGTACTTTTGGAAGGAACTTAGCATGTTTGACAATAACAATCTTCTCTGTGATTTTAGATTCAAAGCTAGAGAAGCGTCCTGTGACATTTGGTAAAGCTGGTACTGCTGCAACTATGCTGTGTGTTTGCCATAGTCCTACAGATGACTTGTGCTTTACTGGGAGTGATACAGGACTAGTATATGTGTGGCAAGGAACCACTCTTCGTCGCTCAGTACAAGCACACAAAGGACCTGTTTGTGCCATGTACTCACTCAGCCAATTCAAACAACAGGTATTGTACAAGGCATTGTATAGATAATCTTAAAATACAATTCTTTCCTTCTCTTGTTGCTTCTTGAACACTTAACTATGACAGTATTGTTGTTCTTGAAAGATTGATTTCCTCAATCATAGCCTTACAAATCATGTGACACTGTTTTGAGCAAGATTTACCTAATTTCTCTTTTGTTTTTGTGAAAGCCAGATTTCAGTAAGACATTTGAAATACTGACCGCATTTGTTTGTCCTGTGCGTTTGATATGCATCACATTTTTTGGGGAGATGTAGTGATTCAATATTCATACCTATATATGTACCTCTCACTCATTGTTATATAATGAAGTTTAGTGAGTGGCTTGCAGTCAAACTTCCTTGTTAAACTAAAACCCCTGCTTATCATTTCTTCTTCTTCTTCTTCTTCTTCTCCTTCCTCTTCTGTCCTTCTGACCTCACTGTCTCTGTCTGTCTAACCAAGCAATCTTTGGCAGCTGTAAGTTGTTTAGTTTAATTGACTGTGGTTTTTAATTTTGTTTAGTTGATATCTCAACCTCTCCACTTTTTGTGTTGAAGGTTATTTTTGTGACAAGGAAAGGAATCATTGTATAAATCACAGTACCCCTCAAAGAAGGTTGTTATTGGTTCTGGTATAAGTATGGGGCTACAAAAAATAACTGAATTCTCTTTGAGGAGATTGGAACCCTTGACCTTTTTATGTTTGCAAGATGATGTAGTACTTCCAATCTTTAGTGAACTAAATAATGAGCATGGTCATTACTTGTCTCATGCACACTAAGCATGCTGCATACTGCTTGGATTGTTATCGTTGAAAGAAATCATAACACTCCTTGCTTGTAACATTCAGGGCTATGTGACTGGTGGAAGAGATGGTGTGGTTACTATGTGGGATCCACTTTTTGAACAATGTCTTAAAGCTTTCAAGGTGGAAGATGCTGCCATGAATCCAGGCTCAGTTCTTTTGCAGAATTTGCCACCTGTTAGAGCCTTACACACTGATGAAGGAAAAATACTTATTGGCACTGGAAATGATGAAGTTAGTTTGTATTTAACATAGTTCTGCAAAGTTTTACTCATTCTCAGTCGTCATGAAGTCCAAAATAACTACAGCTTAGGGTCATGACATGTGATACACAGGGAGTGATTAGTTTTTCTCTTCTTCACCAGTCCCCACATCACATGCCCAGCATGGTTTGAGGGTGACTGGAAAGGAATCAGTTTCAAGGAATCCATGTAATTGTGTACTTTGGATTTGTTGACCAGAATGTTTTATTCATTTTGCTAAGTAATCACTTATGAATTTATTATAGGGCCTGGGGCACTTGTTTTATTTTCGTGTTATGTGGTTTTGGTTCTTGCAACATAACATGTAGTTCAACCTTAAGGTGCGCAGAGGCAGTGATTTATTATTTCAACTAGAGTCCTTAAGTAACAATGTTTATCTTCTTTAGATCATTGAAATTGAAGAAGATGGCAAGATGACAATTTTGGTGCAGGTAGCTGTCTTGCCTTAATTTTCATCTGAAAGTTGTTGCACGTCATTTTGATAATTCATTACATTTTCATCGTTCTTATTTACGTTTCATCAGGGCCACGGTGAAGGGGAGGTGTGGGGCCTAGACACGCATCCAGCAGATGATGAGTGCATGACCGTCAGTGATGACAAGACACTTAGAGTCTGGGACCTAACTAAACTGAGACTAAAAAAGGTGAGTTTCACAAAATCTCTGAAATTGTTTAATTTCATCATCCAGTTTCTTAGAAGATGCAAAACACCGAGTCGCAACATTGTATTTTGTAATTAATTAAGTTAATTGAAAACATTAACATCGATACATCTGTTCCTTTTTCTGTAACCTGCGTAGGTAAAGAAATTAAAGAAAGGTGGTCGTGCTGTGGCATACTCCCCAGATGGTACTACTGTGGCTGTGGGTCAGAACGACGGGGGTTTCCTCATTTTAGATGCGGAATCATTGGAAAAGATTGTTGGATTCAAGGACAGAAAGGAGGGCATTTCCGATATCAAGTTTTCACCTGGTAAACTTTCATCTGAGTTGTTTGTAGCGTTGTGCTACTAATATTAGAAATACTTCAAAGGATAGCTTGCGATTAGGCCCTCATTATCTGCGTTTCAGGAACGCGCGTTTCTTCGCTTGCGAGAAAGTTTGAGGCTTTGGGCAACGTTAACTAGCGTGAGGTCTGTAAGCGGTCTGGCACTGTTAGTTAGTGCCAGACCCTCCACAAACCTCTCTCCGACCCGAGCGGAGAAATGGTCGTCTAATGAGGACCTGTCCGTATATTAGTCACAGGATTACCAAAAAGTTGTCTTATAGGAATCTCTCTTCGCGACTGGCAATCGACTCCTGGCAGAGTCACCTGCAAAATTTCGATCGTTAGCGTTTCGATCATTTTGCAAAGTAAACCGAATATTGTATTTTTCTTCCTTTTTCGTTCGAATGGGACAGAATTAGGTAGGAAAAATTGCATGTGAATGTCTTTTTGTTTGTATCTTACTCCCACAGATGGTAAGTTATTAGCGGTCGGTTCACATGACAACTTTGTGGATATCTACAGCGTAAGGCGAGGCAGACGGACTGGTGTCTGTAAAGGAAGCTCTAGTTACATCACTCACTTGGACTGGGACACTAAAGGTAAAAATGGTATTTGTTAGTACCAGATAGTACACGGTTTGAATTGTTCACGTACAGTTGTCGCTTTAGGATGCCTCTATTACTGCATTTCCTCTCATTTGGTCCAAAACTATGATGGAATTTGGCACACGCTCGCTTTCTTGATTAGACAAGTAGTTTCTGGGAACAATGAATATAGGGGGTAACTTTATAAAGAAACTGTGGTACTGCGTCGATGGGAAAGTATAACAGGGTAATTTAGTATTAACAACTAAGTTGATAACGTAAGTTGGCCACCGTAAAGAGTCACAAAGCTGACGTTTCGAGCGTTAGCTCTCCCTCAGAGCGAATGTTTCTAGGACACTTGTCACATATGAACCTAGAACCCATTCCATTGCGAAGTCCTCCGCTGTTTCTCATATTATTCAGCAGATCGGGCGGCGGAATCGGAGCTGGCTTTTGTTTGAATCCTTGTTGGAACCCAGATTTTTCTCTGTTCCACGCACTTAAAATAATTCGTAATATCTTATTTTATGATGAAACTTAGTGGAAAGATGTGAATTTCAACGTGAAAGTGCGTCATTTTTCAGGAAAGCTTATTCAAACCAACTCCGGAGCCCGCGAACACTTATTTTACGAGGCGCCATTCGGCAGTCGAAAGACCATCAGTGTTCCGGATATTGAGAGATTGCAGTGGTCCACGTTCACTTGTGTCCTGGGTCCAACTGTTAAGGGTGTTTTCCCGCCCGGAAGTGACGTCACTGATGTCAACGCCACCTGTCGCTCTAAAGACGGAGGCTTATTGGCCAGTGGTGATGATTTTGGTCTAGTGAAGCTTTTCGAGTACCCAGTGTCGGTAATAAGTTTTTGATAAATAATTGCTTCCAGTGGTATTTTGCATTGCTTTTTGATTATTTTACGGATCAATTGAAAAGGACCAGAAGAAGTATGTGTCCATCTTGAAGTAATGCACAAATCAGGAACAACCAAAGAGATAAACAAAGGATCGTCAAAGATGAAAGTACATTTTTCAATTGAATTTTCGGCGGAAAATTGGACACTAGTGTCCTAAATCCAAAATCGGACACTGGTGTCTCAAGTCCAAAATCGGACATTTGTGTCAAAAATCCGATATTGGACACTGTTGTCTAATACCATCGCTCTCTCATTTAGATAACATATGTGGCTTCGTCTCCTATAGGAGGCAGTAGCCACAAAAATTGAAAACGTTTGTCTTTTTTTCAGCATCGTGGGGCACGTGGTCGGAAGTATGGAGGTCACTCCTCACACGTGACAAACGTTCGGTGGAATTATGATGACCGCGTACTTGTGTCAACCGGAGGTCTGGATACCGCCGTGCTGGTCTGGGACCGACTGGTTGTTTCAGAAGTTGATGAACCAGGTGAGAACACTTAAAGTGGTTGAAGCAAAAATGTGGGAGCAAAAATTTTGATTGTTTTTTTTGCATGTTATTTTGGTTTCTGGATAGCTGAATTTTCTTTTTTGAGCGCTTAACCCTTACCTTTTCTGCTTTAGACCTATCCTAAAATATTTCAGTCAAGGGGAAAGGTTCATGCGATTTTGGATTGGACATCGCGTGTAAAGAAAAAATGTCTCCAAATGATAGATGTTTCTTCCGCCTTTGTCTTTTAAGCTTTTCAGTTGTCAGCTGTTATCCAATGATGATGTGATTTTGTTTTATTGATACTCTTTTCACAATTGTAACTGTTTTTCACAGAAAAAACCACGGAAGAGAAGGTTCTTGTTCAACCAAAGTTTATCCCAACTGGACCCATAAAGAATCCAATTGCAAGAGGAAAACCTCAATGGGACTGAAGCACCTGGCTTGTATTTAATTCGTGGTCACTTTGGGGCTGGGTCAGTTGCTCTGCAAATTATTGAACAGTTTTAATCGAGTGTCGAGAGTGTTTCTTGCTTTTTTCATCGAGTTTTTATGAGCCCGTTGTCTTGCTTTTTTTTTGGTCTTGATGAGCAACTGACATTACTTTTGGTTTTACGACACTCATTCGAAATGTACTCCATTAGTGACTTGGGGGTCTTTTACCCTATGGGCGACTATTGTAATCCAGAATGCGTTGTATATCGCGTTGAATCTTTTTCGTCAGATTATGGCAGAGATCTTGCCCAAATTCTGAAGACAGCTACGTGCAATAATATATTCAGTCGCAATATGTCGTATGTTTATTCAGTCTTATTTAAAACGATATTTAATTATGAGAATCATTGTCGTTTCAAAGCAAAGCGTGCTTTGAAAGCGTTGAAGAGAAACTCTTACACTGCGGCGGAAGATCAAATTGTAACTATTCCATTTTCTGTACATTCCCTCGAGAGTTCACTTTGGGTTTCAAGCCTTGTTTTCCCTCAACTCATTGTACATGTATTTTTCCCAGTGGATAGAAAGTGAAAGAGATACGAGACACTTTTATAACTTGCACACATTAGACAAATTCATGTAACAAGAACATCCTTACTAGTGTTCTCACTTGGTATGGGTTGTTAATAAAACGTACCTTTCTTTAAAATTCACGGGTCTAAGTTACTCTATTGAAGAGACTGAGAATATTTTTGTACTATGATCGAACCATTCCTCTTTTTATTACATGGTTGGCGATAATGTGATAGTAATAATTTGTCATTCCAGATTTGTACAGGCGTAAATGAGATCTTTACGAGGATGGTATTATCCCTAATTCCAAATTTCTGCGAGCATTTTTCTTTGTAAATAATTAGCTTAATTAGCTGCGCAGTTACAGTAATTACCGTTACAGTCACCACAATCGCTTATATAAAGATCGACGTGCGTTATCCTCAGAACCAAGTTTTAGACCTGACTCAAATTGAGAGCCAGCGGAGTCAAAGGGTACGATTGGTGCGCGTTAGTAGGTTTATCGTTAATGCTCCATATATTTCCGTTATAATGCTTCTTTCTTTTCTTCCCTTTAATATTATTTCTCCAATTCACCGGATGTCTCTAAGTCCAAGTCTGCCACAATGTAGCGGTATCGATAGCTGTTCCTAAATCCTGTCTAAATCGTGTGGGTTGTTGCTGGAAAATACGTGAAGTTCGTGCAAAAGTTTAAAAACTTCTGGAACGCGCATTTTCATGATGGAAAGCTCGATAGTAGGTTTAGGACAAAAACTTTACGGTTTTAGTAGACTTTAAAAGAACATAGTGTTAGTTTAAGGATATAACCTGTACTGAACGTTGAAAAGTGAAAGTGAAAATGCTCGTCATCAACCTTACACTGAATTATTAATTTAAATTTAAGTAAATTTACAACTGAGTGGTAGAATATCTCCCGTTTCGTAAGAGAGTGAGGTAAATGTTCTGCTACTAACTATCGATATTGTGTCAATATACACTCTCGAAGTGTTCTCAACAGTTTTTGAAGAGGCAACCACGGAAAGTAAAAAGTCCATTTGACAGTTGTGCACTTATGTCGTAAAATGAGTTGTGGTTATTCATTGTGGTAAATAACACTTCAAAGGAGAAATATAATCGTTTGTCTCATGATGTGGTCGCTTCGGATGTGGATCGCGACGTTTCGACTCCATACTGCAGTCTTCTTCAGGTGCGACCTACTCGCACATCCGAAGCGACCACATCGTGAGACAAACGATTATAATTCTCTCTTGAAGTTGTGCGTTTAGTTGCCAAGCCTTTGGTCAGGAATGGTATTAATGCTGAGGCTGACCCTAAGTGACAGATCAAGAGACGTGAGGAAACAAATTAGTAGTACAACAAAGTAGTATGTATCATAACAAGGTCACCCTTATACCCAAAGGCATAGCAGCTTAGCAGAGAATTGTTAAAGGACCACAGTATTGTGCATGAGCTTTTTTTTTTTTTCTCTTGAGAAGTTGTTCAGTTTACGCATGCGCAAACGACGGTTGTGCTGCTGTGCTGCGCTCAATAATTTATATGAATTAATATTTTATTTACTGAGCAAAAAATATGTTCTTTGTGATTGCATGTCAATCCCCCAACCCTATACATTTGGATGAGAATTGAAATTATAGGAATTGTTAGTGCTAGCCACTGAAATAGAAAAATAATTATTGATTTAAGAAACGTATTGATGCATGTTTTGAGATCTGCGTCAGCTTGATTGATGAAAAAGGATAAAAGAGTACTTCGAGTTGATAAGAAAAATATTTCGAATGAAAAATCTCATAGAAAAACGATCTCGGAACATGAAATGGCAATTTGTACTTTTGCTTCAACTAAGTAAGTTGTACATGCGTTCGCAAACACACTCAGTCATATCTCACGATCAAAGAGGAGTCAGTGATATTGTTGATGACATAATTTTATGCTAAAAAATTAAGACTTTACTTCAAAGCGTGACGGGCCCCTAACGATTTGAACGCTGAGAAATGTCACCTGGACTTTTGTCTCTATATGTGGGCTTCTTTTTCGTTCACCTGATGCTAAAGACCGACGGTTTCTCTATTTTTCACGCTTTTAACTCCCACTGTAGCACAACTAATGTTTTATGAACACTCCTCCTCTGTTAATTTCAATTTTAAAGGTTTAATGACGCATCCGATAGAATTGAAACTGCTTACATACAGGTGCACTGACAGAAAAAATAGACAAGCCTTTCATATAATTTCCCTATCTCAATCTTAAATTTGACGCTGTGAGTTTTTTAATCCTAGAAGAATTATATGAACAATATTTAAATCATTCAAGGAAAAGGAGATTATGTAAATTTGAATCAAGTTATTTGCCATTTGAAATGTTTATTTGGTAGATTTCACAGCCAGACAATACTGTATAATCTTTGCAACTTTCTATTAATTTTTTAGATAGAAGTCTTGCTTTAAATTAATAAGAAAAAAACATCACAGTCTCGTAAATGAGTCATCTCAGATATAATAAAATCGTTTTATTAACTGACCAGATATAATAAATCATTTTATCAGCTATCCAGGTGGTAAGAATACGTTCGTTTTATTAATTTTTATCCTTTTCCAATCAATTTAAAAAGTGATTTCTCCTCAAAATTCTCGCCTTTCTACAATTGCGTTAATTACAGTTCATAAAGAGTAAACAGGTCTCTCTCAACATAATCTATATCAGATGTCAGTCGATTACCAAAGCGCTTTTCTTGTTCTGAGATGAAAAGCTTGCTGAGAATTGTGCGTACAATTATCATCGGATCGTCGAGATGCAGTGCGTATTTACAAATATTTTACGGATTGGAAAAGATCAATAGGACGCTGTAACTCCTGTAAAGTGCAATCAAGGAAAAGTTTCCACGCTAGGCACTGAATAGCTTTTTGTTTTGCAAAATATGAATCGCAGTACGACGGTACTTCTTCGCGATTTGAATGAGGAAGATAAATCTCAAGAAAATCAAGGTTTGCCTTTGTCGCTTCTCCGACAATTTTCAACCAAGGAGAGAGGAGTTGCAAGGCGTCGCCAAACCATGACGAGCATCTTGCGAAGAAGCATTTCAGATTCAGTGGAAAGAAATCTCTGTTACCGTGTTGGTTTGCATCAGGTATTAAATAATGTAATGACAAAATTGGGACACGAAAATCGATAAAGAGCTGAAAAATTTACAGCAGCGAAAAGTCGGAAAGAAGTTAGTAAGACACTGAGACATCATTTTATCCGAAGCCGGTCTATTATTACCATTTCTCCCTTTACGTAAATCATTCCGTGGTGTAGCCAACAGCGTCATTGGAAGATGTGAGGCTCAACTGAATACTAACGAAAATCTTACATTTTTTATGTGTGGGGAGGAAAAGTTAACATCGTTCACTGTTATTCGTTGTATTTCAATTTCACTTGCTGCTCAAACGCTGAATCACAATTGAGTATTTGAGTATTTATTGCTGACCAGTTTCAGAAGAAATAATCAGAAGAAATCGACTCAATACTAAACTCAAAATGGATGTGACCATCAAGTCTCTGAAAAATTTTTGTTAATCTTGTTTACTAGTAATCTCAAGGAATTTTGAAAAAAAAATAAAAGAGAAGTAGATATGACATGTGCGGTATCGACTTCAGCAGAATGAAATATTTTTCCATATCACATGGAATGCGCCATACAATGATAATCTAAAATTTGTATACAATGATAATCTCCGTTCTTTTGAGAATGTGTAATTGCTGTTAAGGACAACGGGTGATCTCTTGGAAAAGGAATGAAAGCTTCCACCGATCTGTAAATTAATAATTAATTTTTCATGGAACAATGATTTGTAATTTGATTCAACTTTAGACGACTTTAAAATATACATTTATGTTCTATCATCGATCATCCGCTCTGATAATTTTCTCATTGGGGAGGAGAAATCCATTATATGCTGAAATCATTTCTTGATTTTCAAAAAAAATATATTTATATGTTTTAATTCGTACAGAGAAACACCACGAAACCATTGTCACCTACATTAAGCTTCGTTTGCTCACACTTTTACTAAAAAATTTTTTTCTTCCTTGACAGGCCTGTCGGGATGGTCTCATTGATATCGTTCGAGCATTACAACAGAGAGGTGTACCTACCATCAACACCTTAGACAAGGATGGGTTGGCCCCAATCCATTACGCAGCCCGTTATGACCACGAAGAGATTGTGCAGCTACTAATTGAGGGAGGTGCAGGTAATATTTCATCCGAATATTGTTTCATTTTCTCTGCGATAGTTTTCCCTCGAAAAGTTCTTTTTTTGTGTGGCAAATCGTCGCCCATTACTCTCGATGACAAGGGTCTTCTTTTCAGTGTCGTCATTATATTCCGTTTCATGATAGGAAAACTTATACAGCTCATACATTATACAATACCTAACTATAAATAAGGTAAACATACCTTTTAATGTTTTAGATCTGGACATATTCTCTGGCTGTGAAAGCAAATTTACTACACCTCTTCAAATCGCAGCAAGATTCAACAGTCCTGCCACAGCTCGGTTGCTGGTACTGAATGGAGTAGATGTAGCAAAGCAGTCAAGTTATGGACAACAAGCTTTACACTATGCTGCAAGAAGAGGAAACTTAAAAGTCGTTCAGGTGGGTTTTGGAAATATCGCGAACTTTTGAACTCTAAAACTCCCTCGATCCAAGATAACATGAAAATTACCAGACAGATAACTTTATAACAATATCTCAGTTATCTACTCTGTGTGCATGTTTTAATTTAGGTTCTGCTCAGAGAAGGAAAAGCAGAGGTAAATGCAAAGGACAATGAGAATTCCACCCCACTACATGCTGCATCTCAAGAGGGAAAGCTAGATGTTGTCGAAATTCTGGTGAGGGCATTATCGCAACGCAGAAAAAGATGGGACCGCGGAGTAGCAGTCGATCGTGTATTCTGATATAATGCAGTCCTTAAAAAGGGCTGGAGACGTTAACAACGAATGACTTTACGTCAACATGAACAAAGGTTATCATCCGACTTACGAGGGAAATTGTTTGTCAACGAGTGTTAACAGTCAAGTTCATTATACTGAACTGATTGGTCAGTTTTCGCCTTAATGCTATTGGCTATAAGACTCTAGTAGCGTAAGTCAGTTGTGATAGGTCAGCTTGATCTTTTTGGTAAGGTCGGCTTGTTACCGTCTTTGGTTCATTGATTATGTTAGTGTGTTAACTGTTCTGTTCTGTTCCCTTAGCTGCAATATGGCGCTGACCCGAGTTTAAGTGATAACGACGGATACACTGCAGTGCATTTAGCAGCTAAAGATGGATACGATGATGTGTTAGAAAAACTACTTTCCACAGGTGAAAAATCGGAAATTCAAGTAGTCTGTTCCTTAATTTTGTAATTTATAGTTCATCTCGATGATTTAAAATTTTTAAAACGCCTTTGGTTCGCACAATTGAGAATTGTTGAGCCAGGATCTATTTCAAATTACACGAGCTCACAGTCAAAATATCTCAATGGTGTATGTTCATATTAGGGAAATATTACATTTTTTAAAACTGAAATTTTCCTTCAGCGAAAACCTGTGGTGTATCATGTCCAGCTATTTTGAACAAAATGGATAATGATGCCAACTCATGTCTGCATCTGGCTGTCAGACATGGCCATATTAAAGTAAGCTTGATTTACTTCTGTTTATTCGTTTGAATGATTGTAGTATATTAGAGGTGTGATCTAGTTTCTCTTTTTTTTCTGAACAGTATTCCTTTTTTCCACTTCTTTTTCAGTCGGCAGAGGTTTGTATAAAATACGGCGCTGATACATGCGCAGTGCAGGTAAGTTGATTAATTTACAATCCCAAAAGTAGCAAATTAACATTCGACAAACGGTGACGCGATCCATTGCTTACAGAGGGACAAAGTGTTTGAAAGTGTTCGTCTATCCTAGCTTTTTAGATTTTTGTTTTCTATATAAAGAATAGATATTGCTGTCATAAAGCAACTTCTATAATCGCCAACTAACGATTTAACAAACACTATTGAAAGATACCTAGTGCCGAGTCAAGAGAGTAGATGTATGATTACTGGTTTGGAATTCAGTCTCAATCGCAGTTCTTATTCACATAGGATGATTTGTCGTCTCCTCTTCATGTTGCCTGTGTGAATGGTTATTATGAGATTGCAAAACTTCTCCTGTTGAACGGGGCCAACATACACGATGAAGATGCAGAAGGAATGACGCCCATTTTGAGGTAAAAAGTAAACAGATGTTTAAATCATTTAGGAATTATTTCATAATCATTGCATCAATTAAAGCTGCATTTCTCCCTTGAATGTAATAATTTTTTTTTCTTTCTTAACTCGTCACAGGGCGTCACTGACTGGAAATGTAGAAATTCTCGATCTTCTTCTCTCAGAGGTGAGTTTTTATTTCCCTCAGTGTGTGGTTGCTCTGATGGTCAGCGTGAAAAACTTTTCCCGGCACGCCTAATTACCAAATGAGCTACATGTTTTTGGAAGTTCCAACATACCTGCTACACTATTTAAGTTCTAACTACACATCTAGTCTGAAATGTCTTGCGGTGCTTTTTCTCTACATAAGGGAGCTGATATTTCATCTGAAGAGAACACTTATTCCCCCTCACCACTGATGTGTGCAGTAAAGAGAGGCCATCCCAATGCAGTCAGATTTCTTTTACAACGCGGATCACCCATTGACCTGAGAGACGTAAGTCACAGGACTTCTCTTCACGTTGCTGTTTTTAGCTCTGATGCTGAGACACTGAAAGTAATTCTTCAGGTAAATCTTGATTAACTTTGAGTGATTGTTATGATTATGACATCTGAACCCAAGGTAGACAGGATTCTTACGACTCAGAGCTGAAAAATAACAATTAAGACAACCAAGGGAAATGTATCGAGTAGGCAACTTAGACCTCTACTGCAACGGGTGGGATTATCCAAGTTTACAATATATCGTGCGTTACTTTGCTTTATATAAAAATCATAACTCTAAGAAATTCGAGTTTATATTTATTTCTAGTCATTTTTGGTTTCCACGATTTTAAATGCACACACGTGCCTGCTCAAATAGGCGTATCTGCTCTACTGCACAAACAAGACACACAAAATTACTTTTCAATTTGCTTCGAGTACATGGTTGAGTACATAAGATTCCCCTTAGGCAAAATTTTTTGTATCGAAGGATCTCCTCATGTCAGGAAAGACTCATTGAGTTAATGCAGGTGTGATGTAATTGCCCTTTCCCTTTGTTCTTGGCACTTTCACGTCAACAGTTTTATATGTATTCGCTAATGCCACATATTGTGACCGACTGCAGGCCGGGGGAGAATGTTTGTTAAACAGCAGGGACAAAAACGATCAGACACCACTCCACTATGCAGCGACTAAAGGAAGTTTACAGGTAAAACAATTGTCTGGACGCACAGGCTACAGTGCTGGAGCTACCACAGTCAGGCTTATTTACATTTCTGTCTCTTTCTCTCTTCTCTCCTTTTTCTTTTCTTCAAATAGCTCATTCAAGAGCTTCTCAAAACTGGGGCCAAAGTCGACGTCAAAGATGAAGACGAAAGGATTCCACTTCATTATGCTGTGGAGTAAGTAATGCAAAATAAGCTGTAGTGTTTTTTTCTTGTTAATTCAATCGATACTTCCAGCCACCATAACAGCAAGACACCGAACGTGTGAGCTGATGTTAAACACGTTGTACAATGGATCCCTGATTTAAGTCCTATATTCTATTCTGATTTCCATAAGGTTGAGATGAGAATATCTTATTAGACGTTTTGGTGTGTAGTGTCGCTGAGTATTTTTACGATACTACACACCAAAACTTTTAATAAGTTATTTACTATCCAACTGCTTTAATTCATGAGTATTTCTTATAAAGTGGGGAAAGCGAAGCAGATAGAGAGGCATAGCGCGCAGCCGACAGGCTAACCCTTCAACGACCAAGATCCTATTGTCAATTCTCCCCTCTAGCTGTCACAGATTTCCTTATAAACTAGTTATGAGAATTTGGTGTTAAATGAGGATAACAAAAATCTACCTGATAAGTTTTAGAATTCTCATGACCTGTTTGCTGGATAACGTAGGGATATTATCGGGAGAAGTTTCATGCATGTCTCTTGTGGAAATTAAAAGGTTAAGCAGTTTTTTTTATAGTACAAAATAACCAACTACTCATCTAATATCTAAGGACATTTGTACTCGATACGCGCTTTATTTATACTCTACTTAGTACATTTGGATAACAAATTACTTATACAAAAGCTGCCAGAGTGCTAATTAAAGTTTTTTCATGCACAGAAATGGTGATCTTGAATGTGTTCGGGTGTTGTTGGAAGCCTGCCCAGAGTCAATTCACATAACCGACTTTTGCCTCCAAAATTGTTTGCATTTTTCTGCTTGGCACGGTCATCTTGCAGTCACAAAATATCTGTTGGATCAAGGAGCTGCTGTCGACAGCAGGTGAATGAAACGAACCGAGAGAATTTAACCATTTGCTTTATCAGGAAATTGTACTTCAAGCCAGTTTCATCGACGATATTTTGAAGAAGACATCGGTAAAATGAAACGAAACGAAGTTCTCCTAATAGTTAATACCAACTCGTTGAAAAAAATGTTCTCTGAAATCACTTTTTAAGCATACACCTTTCCTGACTTTGAAGACAATTCTCTGGTAATGAAGCGACAATTTTGTAAATTTGTAGATGTGATGAACGCCTGACTCCGCTAATTCAGTCGGCATTTTGCGGTTGTAATTTGACAACTAGCCTGTTGTTGGATCACGGAGCGAAGATTGATGCTACAGACAAGAACGGGGTACGATATTTCGGTTGGTTGTGTCGAAAACATACCACAATCTTTTTTACAGTTCAATTTCTTCTAACTGGTTTTGTGCAGACGCTCTAAGTTGTCATTTATTACTCACATTATATGTCACACTGTAGGCCATGATTCGCTAACAATTACTTTTTCACTGACACGCTCTTGAACTTTTAACTGTGTAATTTAAAAACCATACAGTCAGTCTTTTATTAACCAAACTTTATCGCTTGGAGACCAACTTATAAAGTGTTTAAAACATATGTGATTTTCATTAAAAGATAAGATGCTCTCAACTTGAAGTCGCATTCTGAGACTTCTATTTTCTTTTTAATTCAATCTTCAGTGCACCGCTTTGATTGCTGCAGCATCTCGAGGTAGGGTGAGTGTTCTGCGGCTGCTGTTGGACCGAGGAGCGGACATTCGACTTGTAACAACTGACGGTAAAAACTGCCTGGAAACTGCAATAGCTAACGGTCACCAAGATGTCTGTATGGAAATTATCAAGCATGAGAGGTAAACTCAAAACTGTTCCGATTCAGCAATCCGACTTTCCACGCGACACAATGGACCATTTCTTCAAATCTAAAACAAGTAGCAGTTTGACCAATCATTCAGTACGCAGCAAGAAGAACTGCACAGTTAGAATTTTGCCAAAATCCTAACAGCTGTTTAACAGTCAACCAGCGGTTAAAGAGATATTCTTTAGTTAAAACCTCTTTCCGAGGCTTCACTGGTGCATAACATCCATCGTTGCCTAATTTCAGGTGGAAGGAAGCTTTTCCAGTGTGTGACAAAAGAAGCAATTTCATTCCATTAAAAAGTCTCATTGAAACGTTCCCTTCTGTGTCCAAGGTAAGAGATACAACGAACCGAAAAAAGGATTTTCACCATAAAAGAAAAGTTTATTAAAAATTGGTCGTTTACTGCTCTGAATTACTGTTATCTTTTTCAGGTGGTTTTGGATAAATGCATTCAGAGCTCCCATCACCTACGAACAGATGAGGATTACTCGGTATGAATGAAAGAGCTCCTAAAGGATCAAAATTAAATGTTTCTTTAATTAGATACCTTCAGGTGTAAAGTACTCCATAAATGTACTTATTCTTGACAGAAAATTACACTGTCACAAAATGTCTCTGAAAATATGACTTAGGTGTTTTTGGTTTTTTTTTTGGCAACTGAAGGCGCAAATTAACGAAATTATTTTGTTATTTATTCCTAGGTTACTTATGACTTTAAATACGTGAATCCCCATCCCTCCTTGCTTAGCGATGGACGAGTCTTCTTTGCTCCAAAGGTGATAACAACGTCAACATCAGCTGATCGAGGGCTATAGAATGGTGTTTAAATAAATAGAGTAATACTCCTACCATGCTAAAGCGACATAAGGAAACAAGATGGTGATAAAGGAGAAACTGACAGCTTGAATTACAGACGATGATTTTGATAGAGCTGAAATCAGGACTTGACGTAACAAGCCTTTCTAGGGAAAGATAGATTATTATTACCCATGACTCGCAATTAAATAAACAGAGACGATTCCGATCTAATAAGGATTAAGACATCTAAATCTGGATTTCTGGATCTCATTACAGACAATGCTGGACTATGGAAGAGAAGAATTGATTTTTCATCCACTGATCATCGAGCTGATGCGATGTAAATGGTAAGATCGTCCAACACTTTTCTTTTATTAGCAACAGGTCCCTCTCGATCAAGAGTCTGACCCGCTGACCACTTGGTCAAGCGTCTCACACGTGACACAACTAATGAGAGAAATCTCATCTTTTCAACTGAAAAACGTCTTCTTTTAACAGGCAGCACATGGGCGTCAGGTATTTTTACATCTCTGCCGTGATTTACCTGTTTTACCTTGGAAACTTGACGCTTTACATGTTGTGCATTCAACATCTTTATTTGCTCAATTCCGCCCGACCAGTTATTCCAACCAGACAGGTACGAAACCCACTGAAACCTTTTCCAGATTTGCCGGCCTATATATATATATATATTCTTTCACGATGGATCGTTTAGAGTTGTATCACGTGTCATCTTCTTTCAGAATGTGTGTATCTTTGCTCGCATAGAGGTCTGGGAGATTTTCATTGCAGTTATGACAGCTGTTTATTTGCTGATAGAAATGCATCAAGCATTCTGGGAAGTGAGTTATGTGTTGATTCGTTTGGCTATTTTGTAGGTTTGCCTTTCTATGGGACTGATAACTGAAAATAATTCAGTAAATGCAATAATTATTTTAAATTTATCTCCTTTAATTAATTAATTTTTTTTTAACGATCTCGTTCCTCTTTTCATTTGTGGTATCGCTTCTCCCATTTACCAAACAGAGAGCCCTGGGACCTGGGGAGGGTCATGGACGAGAAAAAAATCCAGTATTGCAAGTGTTATAGTAATTAGCAGGCCATCTAAAAAACTCAAGAATAAACGAGTAGTTTGTGACAAAACTCAAGTCATTTTGTTAAAAAATGCAAATTTATGACAACCATGATCTGGTGATTGTTTGATTTTTCTCATCGCAGACATGGAACTACATTGAATTCAGCAACATTGCTGATATTTGCACCTTCTCAACGGCACTCATTTCCATTTTTCCTGAGCCTCTGGGTTTGGAATTTCCTGATAAATGTGTTTTCCTTGTTATTTCTGTGCTGTTTGGATATCTCGCGCTTTTACTGTATCTGCAAAGGTTGGTTAAAATGTATTACTTTTAAACCCAATATCTGTATTTACGAAGGGAAATTTGAGGGGTTTTATGCTTGAGACATTTTAGCTCTTTTGCGTTACTGTTCAGAGTACTCCGAGGTATAAAGTTGTGTAGGTAAACTTAAGTTGCGAACATGAAGGCCAATGAAGGCCAGTGCCGTCGGTGCTGTTCTTAGTTTCAGTGACAAAAAGGGATGAGGATCGAATGTATTTTGTCCAGTTCCTCTGAAAGGTCTCTGTTACTCATCAAACCTCTGGATGGCGAGATCTGCTTTGAAAGTAAATTGTCTTGTCCAAGAAGACAGCGTAATGGCCTTGGAGTGAGCCCTGTATTTTCGATCGGGAGTCCAGCGCAGTAGAAAACCATGCCACTTGTTGTGAGGTTAAACATTTCGCTAAAAACGATTGAGAAAAACCAACTATTCATGATGAGACGTTACAGCAATTAAATGGGTTCTCTTTTCTTTCAGTGTATTTGAATCTGGAATACACGTCACCATGCTTTTTGTTGTGCTGAAGACATTAGGCAAGGTTTGTGATGAATTCTGAGCTTCTTATTTGTGAAAAATAAGCCCAATTACATACAGGAGGCAGTATGCTCGAGAGGTGAGCGCAGTCCGGAAGTCCTGAGTCCGTGTTTTGCTCTGACCGTAAAGTGAGTGCAAGCGAGACGTTGCATTTAAGCTTGTTAGACTTCTTTTCAGTGGAGTGCTGGCCAGTTGTCTAACTATACTCACTAAGAGCACTCCCTTTGGGAAAACAAAAACTTAGAGTTTTTCCTTTAATAGTTCTATCAATTAAATATTGTCCGATCCAGAGGAGTGTGTTAAATAACGATAAATAAAATGAATAAATAAATACATAATGAATAGAAATGGCCTCGATGCCACGTGTCTGATGTTATTTTTAGTAACAGTATTTCCGGACTATATGAAGCATTTATTGCTTGGTGAGGTGTTGTTGCTGTCTTTCTTTTCAGGTGGCAGTGATGTTCTCCATATTAATCTTTGCTTTTGCTTTGGTATTTCAAATGCTTTTATCAAAGGAAGCAAATGTAAGTGTTTATTCTTCAGTTTAATTTCGCTTTAACGCGACTGTTTCTTGTATAATTAAAAAGTATTAATACGTGCATTAAGTCTTCACTGTTATTTTATGCACGTCCTCACCTCACCCATTTTAAGTTTAACTCAGGGTGATGAATTTGATAGCTTTTCTGTTCAATTTTATCCAAAGTCAATGTACAAAAATGGAGAAAGTAACGATTTTTCTTATCTGCTGTTTTGTCTTTAAATCATCCACCATCCATCAGTCATGATGCGTCAATCAATCAATAAACCCCTTTGCTACTTAGGATCTCTTGAAATACGAACTATTTTTGACCACTGTCCAATATCTACACTATCTACCTGGTTAAACCAGCTTTCTGTCCCATAACATGCAACCTAACTTTAAGCTGTATGGGCGATTTTCCTTCCTAACTTCCACCATCTTTTACAATGCAGGCCATAGCTCTCAACATGACAATGAATGGAACTTTGTTGGGAGATATTGATAAGGTACGTCAGGCAAAAAAACTTACAAATTCGTCTGACATTTCTTCCCTGAAAATGAACGTTTTCAATCTCATCCATTAGTTTTTGTTTTTTTGTTTGTTTGTTTGTTTGTTTTAATAGGACCCATTTCAGTCATTACGTTTGTCTTTTGTGAAGGTGGTTGCCATGACAATCGGTGAAATCGAATACACCCGCTTTTTCATTGACCAGCGGCTGTTTTCGCCGACCTTAAGCCAAGCAGTATTCTTGGTATTTTGTGTCATGATGCCGATTGTACTAATGAATTTGACGGTTTGTACAAGTCCACATTCATTTTGTAATTGTTATTGGTGTTTTGCGTTGTGTTAGACTGGATGTCATGTTTGTCTGTTAATTTAGATCGAAACCATCATGACTGATTGGTTAATACGATAAGACCAAAAACTCAAGTATCACCCAATCACCATAATTCGTCTGACGATTTTCCCACGCTCCTGCGTGAACATGACAGATCCTTACCAAAGTAGGTTACCGGCTTATCGCTGGCATGTTGTTTCACCTCACTCCCTTTCAGAGTCTAAATCTTTAGGTTTGATTCAAAAGCTCTGTTTGCTTTGGAGCACAATTCGTTAGTTCATGTCTCGATTTTTTTTCCAGATTGGTCTCGCTGTTGGTGATATCGATTCCATTCAGCAAAATGCCGAATTTAAACGTTTATCTATAAAGGTATGCTCTTACTAGTACTTTCCAGTCCATAATGAAATGAATTTAAATGAGCAGCCTTTCTAACTTAATTTTTGAAGGGCAAATGGCTAATAGGAGAGGACTAACATCGGTTTTCCTATTTCATTCACTAGTTAATATTTAAATATTTATTTTAAAATTCTAAAATCAATAGGGTATGGTTCAGTACTTCATTTTTGGTAGCAGGGTTTACGAACAACGAGTTGCGGCTTTGACGTTTAAGGCCATATTAGCATACAGTACGTGCTAGCCTACGTAGATTGCAGTCCCTTTGTGCGCTTTGCGGCGTCGCATAAACGAACTGCAAAGTCGTAGCAGACTTAAGACGCGGTGCCCCCCGGAAAAAAGGCAGCTACGCAGACTTTGGAGCGGGGAAATACGAAACGCCCGCAAATCCTTAAGCTTATAAAGATGAATGAAGTAAGTGGACTTTGCAGCTGTTTTCCGTGATTATAATTCCATTGAGTAACGCTTCTTGCAAACTTCTTCAGATCGAAGTTATCCACGAGTTCCACGAAAAATCGCCCCTGTGGCTTCTTCATCGTTTACATCAGCCAAAGTCGGTTAAACAGCCGAACAGGAAGGCAAAAACTATACTGCAAAAAATAAAGGTTGGTGGATGTTCACGAGACGTCTCTTACTGGTTTATGTTAAAACTTGTATATTCATTGAATTTAAGATTTAACAGGAGCCCATTACCCGCAGCCTCCATACCAATTGTACCCTTGAGTCAACCCTGTCCCGTATCTTTTTATTTTAAGAACTGAGATATGTGGGATGTTCTGTAATTTCCCGTGAAAACACGCTGACGTTCGCATAACACCCTAACAAAAATGGCAGCCAAAGATTCCTTCTCTGCGTGTGACGAAAACAATAGAGGACCACAGCTCTCTTATGATTGGCTATTATGTAAACACCCGCGAAAAACCCCATGGGAGGTGCTTCTAAAAATAAAAGATACGGGAGGGTAAGTATGGAAGATGGAAGCTCCGGGTAATGGGCTTCTGGATTTATAAATGACCATAACATGCACAGTATTAACACAACCTGGAGAAGTCTTTCTGAATAACTCCGCAGGCCGAAGGTAAATTAAATTAATCAGCTAAAAGCAGCAACAACAACAACATAAATGTTGATAGAACAAAGGAAATCACAGTGATCTGTCTCACATCCAACATGTGACTTCATGTGAATTCATGTTTTCGATTGTTAATGTTGTTTGATTCAGGGCTTAGGGAACAGACTGGTCAGCGGAAAAAAAGCAAAATACACGGTAGAGGACGCGGAAAGAAATTTGGCTGATCATCTGACAAAGATTTTGACATCAAGAATGAAGGAACAAGATGATAGGTAACAACAACGAAAACAACAACAAAAATAACAATAACAACGACAGAACCACAATAATCAACGCAACAACTGAATTTAATTCTTCAAGGCTCTCTAAAAGTTACCTTAACACAGTTAGGTACCCTTATAGCAAAACTTTAGGACTGGTTTTAAACAATATGTTATTAGAGACTTTTGCACGATGGCGTGCGGAATCAAAACCGCAAATATTTAATTGCACAGGACATTAATTTTCAAATCCGTGTGGATTTTCCCTGCAGCTTAAAAAAAAGCTAATTAGCGAAATCCCACAGACTTAAATTGAAGGCCGATGCAACGATTCACCTAACTCATAAAATCTCTGATAGCCAATTTGAAAAAACGTTTATTTTATCTTTGGTTCAAGCTAAAAACTAATAAGGCTCAGTGCAATTATTTGCGTGATTTATTATTAAACGTAGGTCTCTGCCTTTTTATCTCAGAATCAGTGGTATAACCCTGGAAATGAAGGAACAACGAAAACTGCTCGAGTCACTGCTCCAAAGGATGCCCGGGACTGAAGCACGAAGAACTTTGAGCGACGATTAAAAAAAGGGAAAAAACATGATCATAGAACAGTCAGACAACAAGGAAAAATAAGGGTTGAACACTGACAACCGTGGGTCTTTGCTCATGGTGTGAGAGCCTAGCTATGCTATGAAAGTTAAAAGTTTCGTCAACCTTCGGCAAAAAACATCATAGTAGCCAGTCGTAGTTTTGCCTCTAGGAGCCAGGAATTTACTGGTTGATTTTAATGTTACAGATGGTCCCAGGAAAGCATGGATTTTCGCTTTTCTGACAGGGTCTCTTTCAGTGACTAAAACTAAACTGATTTATGGATTGATTAAAGGAAAATTACTATTACATGTTACTGGAGTATAGGTCGTAAAAAGGAAACGAGAATAAACAATAATGATAATTACAATAAAGGGTTTAGTGAGGTGATTACTGTTATGCGAGTCACAGTCCTTTTCCCTTTACCTGTGATCCGTTTGCATGTCAAAATCCACAAACATTCGCGCTCTTCCGAGTCACTGATGTTTCTTATACATCCTTTGAATATTAGGTTTACGTTTTCAATTTTTGACGTTTTCATTCTTCTTCATTTGGAGCATTCAACGTGTGTGTGTGACAGTCTTGCACAGTTAAGCCTTTTCTTCTTCAGTCATCTATTTGCGAGTCCCAATTGTTGCGTCACGAACATATGTCCGCGCTCTAAACTATAATTCACGTTCCCAGAGCTAATCGGCTCTCCTAACTAACGTCGCCTTGGGACGAAAACTCCCAGGTTCCTTACTTTGCTGTCTGCTTGGCATAAACCAAAGACATCTTTTCGAGAAGTTAGTGAATTTGCTCGAGCGATGGCAAAGTATGTCCCGAAGGTTTCCTATTTCTGCTGGCGCAAACAAAAATTAAGAGCGCTTAGAAAACAACTACAGGTCTGCACCAGGAAATGTTTCTTTATTTCAACCACGCATCAACACTTTTAGGTCATATCAAAGGGCTTGTAAGCTCTCATATATCCTCAAAATATGTCATAAAATATCCGGAGGACGACCTCGTGACACTACAGCTGAGTTTCTCAAACTGTCAAAGCATAATTATTTAAGCAAATGCTGTTTCGCATGTCACGTCTTAGCGCATTTGTTCTATAATTCCCTAAAACAAAAACTCAATTGGCTCTTTGGAAATTCTTTGGACATCAATTATGATGCTGGCGGCGTTCCCTAGACAACCTCTGAAGGGCGGCTTAGTTTGATTGACAACCAGTCAATCATAATACGATTATTCCGTTCTTTGTAATTTGGTTTAATTGCCTTTTTATGCTATTCAATTTAATTCACCGAGTGGTCCATGATATAAGGTGCTATCAAAATACACTTGGAACGTTTAGGGAAGTTCTTGCAGAATTAGAGTTTTACGGAGAGGTCCCGGAAAAGGAAATGATGTGAAGCTATGTAGAGTTGCAAAGACGACGACAGAATTAAAAAATATGAAAGTTGCTCATCCAAATCAAAGCGCAGCTGCGGCATTTTTCACCAACTTCCACCAGCAGGGATCGAAGAGGTATGTAAACTTAACACTTAGGAGATATCACTTACTCCTCGAAGAAGTGGCATTTTTTCAATAACAATTAACTGGCATCTTGATGATGCTCCTTAAAGTGATCCTGTTAAATTTGCAATTGGTGGAAGACCGACCAAAATAGGCTGTCGGCTTTCTTTCAAAATTTAGCGTTCGCTTAGCTTAGGAAAGCAGTTCAGTAAATTTGAAATATCGAATCTAAGGTAATAGTGTTAATGAATGTTTTCTCTGGAGCAGCGAATCTTCTGGATGTTTATAGGCGACATTTGCAGACAGAAATGTTTTGTACTCAGTTTGCATTATTTTCAGGGTTGTTTTGAGAACAAAGATACTCGAAACGTTATATCATGCCTAAGAAGTCTGTAACCCAGGAAACAACCCCTGCGGGTATGTCGTTCCTTCAGATTCCTGGGACGTCGTCTACAGCCGAAAGCGTGTCCGAAAATTCTCGAGATGGTTCGGCAGTGTCTTCGCTGAAGTCTGCTTCGATACACTTTTCAACAACAGTACGAATGCTTGCTCCAGTTATATGGTCGCGAATACAGTCCCGGAGAGCGGTTTGTTATTGTTTTTGGGTTTTAACGTTTTATGAACAGCATTGAAAGATATTTTGTGGTTTAATGTGGACTTTGGTGACTGTTACGGTTTGGATGACCCGCTTTGAGGCAGTGTGTGACGCTATGTTGTCAAAACAATCTCACAAACTGATGTTAACTGCTGAACAAGTCCACCAACAATTTATCAATCATCCACTTTTTTGTTAAAGTTCAAGCACGTAGTTGAGACTAGGCAGGTATTAATATTTGAAGGCGCCACAAATTTGCTTGTTTTAGTAATTACCTTGGACACGATTAGAATGTGAAGAACGATAAGCTTCTTGAGGAACGCATGATTTTTTATTCGGTTTCCACATCTTGTTTTTATTTTATTTTTTCAGAAATCAGTGGCCTTCACCACCCCTGTTTCTTTCCACACAAATGATTCTTCAAACGAGTAAGATATGATGTTTCTTTTTCGATTATGGTACGGGAATTTAAAAAGAACGTAACTTAATTCAATCAATTCATTAGTAACAAGATATTAGGAATCTAAATTGCAAGAAAAAAGTCTTTCTCCTGTCCCGTGGTGGTTTATGAGGGTTCACCCACCCTTCTCACAAGACTTGTGAGTTTTCCATGAAAGAACAATTTTGGTTAGTTTGGTTTGATTGTTTGACAACTGACAATGCAGTCAAATAGTGTGTCACTTGGTTTCATTTAACTGTTTAATCTAAGATTGAATGACTGTTGGATAATAGCCTGAGTGGAGGGGAGAGGGGAGGTGGTGGTTTGTTAAGAATACAAATAAGTAAAGATTTTGTGAATACACCAAAAAGGAACTGGTGCTTGTTATCAGATGTGACTTTTTGTTTGGCTAATTTTGATGACTTCCCTTAGCTTTGATATCAACATGAAAGGACTTACATGTAAATCTTAAAGCACAGATTCAAATTTATCTCTTTGAAAAGGATGATGTATTTCATACAGTGGACATGCAACCATTCATAAGGGAAAATTTACCCATGCAACCATTTTCAACCAGAAGAAGATGTACAGGGTATAAGTGCAAGACAGACAAAATATGATTAAAAGCACATTTCCAGTTTAGGAGATTAAAATATTTAGTAAAGACAACCATGTTGATATCAGAAAGTTAATCAATACCTAGCTGATTCTGGAAAAATATTTGTGTGTGTGTGTGTTCTGAAAATGTGAGAGATGAAAGAGTGACGCTTAAAAGGAGATGAAAAAATAATTTGTCTTATTGTCTTTTTTTAATATGAGAGGTTTTAAGTTAGTGGTGGATAAATGTAGTCCTACTTGTAATAATGAAGTTTATTATGTTTGACAATTGTGCATTGATGTGGAACATAGTCAGAGTGTCTGTAATTACATTTTGCATGTAAGATTGAAGTTTAAAAACTTGCCTTTCTGAAAAAATATTTTGTTTGGACCAGTGTTAAATTGTGACATAAAGTATTCCTTTGATTTTCCTTCAGTAATCTTCCAATTTGTTGACTTATCTTTTGTTTTATTCATTGTTCAACTGCCCTTTGTCTTTTTTTAAGTCTCTGAAAACCATTTAATTACCTATGCAAATTTCAACAGAAGTCAATTTTGTAGTCATTCAAGTGTGACCATTGAAGTTGGTTAATACCATGGCTACCTACGCCAGACTACAAAAAGATTTTATGATACTTGAGAATGATTTTCACACATGGTCTAATTAATGTAGAGAGGTTATTCATCAAAGTTCTGAAATTGTGTCTGAAGAACACAAGTTAGTTCTCAAAGAAACATCAGGGATATTAACAAGATCATAACATGGGATTACACATACAAACAAAAAACTGTTATTAAAACCGTTGGTCTAAAGAAGGAATGGGTACAAGGTAGGAAAGATTTAAAGAAATCTTAAAGAGTTTTTGCTCAATTTTCTTACCTTTTTAAGTTTCTTGTGAACAGCATAGTTTCATAAAGCTGAAATTATGATGTAGATTTACAACTGATATCTATCATGGCATGCAGAGATGTTAATTATGTTTGTCAGTTATCATTATTACATAGCAGCTTTTTATATTTACTAAACAAACTTTTAAATAATTCTGAGTATTTTTGGCCTTCTCTGTGAAGGACTTGATCATTTTTTATTACCTTGGAGGCATTTAAAATGTTTAAAATGATATGAAAACTAAGGATGCAATGTTATGACACGTGTTTCTTGTCTCACTCTATTAAAATTATTTGTTTTTGAAAAATGACTTGGTTGTCAAATAGGACTCTGACTCCCCAACTTTTCCTGTGGGTACATGGTATATGGTACATGTTATTATGGTCAAGTCGTATCTATGTTAAGTCAATTGAACCTACATTAGGTTTTGGCATATTTTATATTAAATTCACTTGTATTCCATGAGTAGAACAGGAATAGCTACAAGCAGCATCTTGTTACTACATTGCATATTCAACATTTTACTCATAACTGTTTAGCTGATAGCCTGTTCCAGTCTTTCAGCCTGCAAAACAGAGAAAAATGGTAAATGGCACAGTTCTAGCAGCATAGAAAACAGGAGGAAGGCACCTCCCTTGTTTTATCACTCCTTTGCTACTACTACACTGTTCACTATCAGGCTTCATCTTAGTGAACTCCTGGAACAGGCTATATAACTCTTCATCACAGTTGCTTGCATCCTATCAATTGCTCTGAAGATAAATGACAAAGAGAAATGGAAACTATTGATCATGTCCAGTTAATGTTGTATGATTTGTTTTTGATAAGAATACACTGCTTGGTCAGCCTAACTCCACTTTGCTTTGATCAAGGGCTAATTTTCAGAACATCAGATTTTTAAAATTAGCTAAATTTGCTTGTCTGTGTTCATCAACTTATAGTTGATAGTTAACCAAGTGCTACCCACCCCTCTTCCCCTTGCTCCTGCTTAAGAGTAATTTTTCAATTTGAGATACATTGTACACTTTGAAACATAGCAATACCAAGGGCCTGGGGCCCCTGCGGTTGGAGGAAGAATTGGACATCCAACACCTTGAGACTCTGATGTTCAAGTTTAAGACACACATTCCTGACAAGGTGGAACTCAAGAAATGGCTGACGAGGCGAGGATCAGAATACAGAGACCAGAGCAGATTTCATTCTGCAGGGTTAATGACACAGGAAGAATTTCATGAAATGCTGGCAGATTTATTAGAAGTTGAGACATGGGACAGTCATAAGGTGGCATTATTTGAGAAGGAGATAGGGACATTATTCAAAAAGGTACACAGTACTATTTGATACAAGTTGAAAAATAATATAGTCATTTAATGTGACCAAGTATTCATTAATATAGTTATTTACCATTGTCAAATAAGTTCTTTCTGCTGTATATAGGTTGATATTGCGTCTGATGGCCTTGTTGACTGGGATGAATTCTGTACTTATCTGATGCTTCAGTTTGAGGAGAATGACCAAGCCACAAAAGTCAATGGGAATACTTTTATTCCAAAGCCAAATATTGTTAGGATAGATTATAACAAGGTATATTTAAAACACATAATTGTGAAGGCTACAGGTTTTGATTAATGGTGTAAGTGACTCATGAATGTTATGCTTCTGGCTGCAGACAAACTGCTGATTAGTCGTACATAATTGAACCTATATTCAGAGATAAATATTTCATCTAGGTTTAAATAAATTGTACAATGTTTAGACCTGTTACTCAATACTCTTCTGTGTCATTACTGTTCCCTATTAATTGAAATGCTTTATTCCTTTATCAGGAAACAACAACAAAAATTCTCACAGATTTTAATCCTATGAGATATGTAACAGTTAGTAAGGTATGACACAAATATAAATACAATTTGTACCTGATTTATGTTTCAGTTTTATCAGTTTCTTTGTTGCTAGAATAAATCATTGAATAGTTAAGAAAAAAAATTTTGATAGTCTTTGTGTACAATTTTCAAATGTGTGTGGGAAAGATGCCACCTCATCCACATGGTCAAGGTCAATAATTAATTTTTTAGTAATCATTGTCTTTAGGAAGGAATTATTGGTGTCTGGAGTACAGAACTGGACCTTCAAAGGAAAATTGAAATGGAGCATAATAACTCTGAGGCTGAGCGAACTTCCAACAAGAGACACATCAAGATGTGGGTTACAGATGCTGTTGCTATGCCCAACGTGCATAAAATGGCTCTGTCTACCACAAACAGAGACATCCATTTTTATGATATGTCCACACCAATTTACACACCACAATTTCATCTTTGTGGTGAGCTATTTGAATTGTTAATTTTGGTAATAATCCAGTAAAATAATTGTGTCTTTTAACACCCTGTCTATCCATTATTTTCAGCTCTGGGAAACGTGGTTCTCTGTCTTGATTATTGTTACAACAAGAAAGTAAGTTTATTTGTAGCTGTTACAAATAAATTTCATCAATCAAAGTTTTAAAAATAACAGTTTTAAAGAATTAAGTTTACAAACTTGTAGATGATAACAATTCCAGTGTAAAGGATGAGAGGGAATATGGCATAGAGGGAGGGGGGTAGGTTGGGTAAGTATTCTTACTCCATCTGGTTATTTTACAAGTGTAAAAATTATTATAGTGTTGATGTAAGCATTTACTATCTACAGCTTCCTGCTGGCAAGTCAATGCTTTTTCTTGGAATGGACAATGGCATAATCTTGTTCCTTGTGTTCTCTACACCTCTCAAAGGACTGTTTGAGACTCCATTCAAAAAGACATCAGGCAGTCACCAGGTTTACCTTCAGGTTAGAACAGCTATGACATCTCTTCCCCCCCACCCCTTTCCCTCCTAACTTCTGTTTCGTGTTTTGTACATGTATGTAAAACTTAACAAGGTGTTATCACTTTGAATTATAATTCAGAGGTGGTATGAGTGAGACAGAGAGATGAGGATAATATGTACTTGATACGGACTGGGGAAAGGAAAGAATAGTCCTCCATTTTACTACTTCCCTTTTTTCATGCATTTATCTGCAGAGAGGCAAGGGGGTGGAATTTTTCAATTGGGGTATGCAACTTGGAGAGAAGGGAGCAAGATTGGAAAGATGACGAAGTTTTCCAATGTTTACTGATGTAAGTTGTAATTTTGTTCCCAGGACCTTCCAACGCACTCTCGTTTTGTATCTTGCCACACCCTGGGGCAAGTCCATTCTGATTGGGTTAGAAGAGTGAAGTATATTCCAGCAAAGGAGTTTGTTATTTCCTGTAGCGGCAGTGGAAAAGACTCACTTGTAGTTAGAGATATCGATGATAAGAAGCGGAAAACATACACTTTTAAAGTGGCAAAGGTAAACACCATGCCTTAAAATGCATTTTTTTTTTCAAGATATCAAAATAAATTGTTTAGAGACTGTTTAATTTACAACTAAACTTGGAGGGTGAGTTTGGTGGCCACAAAGTATGAAACATGCATGTGATCTGATTTTTATATGTATCCCCTTCAACGTTCAACTTCATACATTACATTGGTACCCAAGGTGCATAAAGTCTGCCTTTCGTGCGACTCTTTCTGCCGTCAACATTCTCGCTGTTGTAGGGACAAATATTCTGGCAAAAATTGTCTATATCGTACTCACGCAATTGTCCATGAATTGTTCATTTCAATGTAGGTATCTCGGTTCATATAACGTATCGGTTAATACTGAACGATCCATTTGTCAGTCGGTAGCCTCGTGGCTGGCGGTTATCTGCGCTAAGAGATGAACGGCAAATCGGCGAGCGTTTTAAACTATTCTCTGTCACGAACCTCTCACGGGATCGCCGCTCATAGCTTTAGCCAGCTACATAGATAGTTAGTCGGCAGTCGATTGAAAGTCGTCGATAGCTGGCCGATAAAAGGTCGTTGATCTACCGACACTCTTGCGTTAGTTAGAGCCACGCTCAAGGTGCTTGCTGAGTGTTGGAACAAGTAATTGCTTTAGGGTTAGTTGACCCTCAGGCTTTTTTTCTGGGCAGGGCGTGGAATGTTTTGACTACAGTCACAACCTAAATGTTATCTGCACCGGTGGAGTGGACCATGCTGTTCGTTTGTGGAATCCTTACGTGACAGTGAAACCTGTCGCCATTATGAAGGGACACCAGTCCTCTATCATTGACTTAGCAATCCACGAGGCTCTGGAGCAGGTCTTCAGTTATGACAAGGATGGGGTAAAAGACTCGAAGAATACTGGTGTGTTTTTACTTTTCGAATTAGCGGCATGTGTTTGAACCATTACCTTTCATTCTCATATTGAAATTTAGGTATTGAAGGCTTGGGATATCAGAGAGCAAGTCTGTCTTCAAACAATACCTGTCAGGTTCCCATTTGGCCACAGAATTCCTGAACACGGACCTTTTCCATTTCTCCTCATCACCTCACCCATCAACTCTCTTTTTATTGGGAGTAACGACTGCTTGGCAGAAATCAAAATCGTGGCAATGAGTGCAAATAAAAACGCCAAAACCACTCACTGGAGACCCCTGACTGCTGCTCTGTACAACCCTAGCATGGGTCACGTGATCACGGCCTGTGAAGGGTCTGTGGTAACATTCTGGGATCTGAACACCGGACGCCAGGCGCAACACATCTCTGAGGCACATGGCACGGAGGAGATTTCTTGCATGACAATTGATCCTTCAGGGCGGCGGCTTATGACGGGGGACAGGAGTGGTCACATTCATGTGAGTTACGCCTTGTGAAGTTTAAGACTGAACTGGCGGTTACAAAGAGAAATTTTATCTCGTTAATATGTAAACGTTGCAGCGTTCAAAGTTCCTTTGCTCAAGAATTTTAACATATCATTATGAACCGAAATAACTGGGACAATCTACTATAACTATCAAAGTTGGAGGTATTATTGGTTTTCTCTTTCCAGTTTCGATTTTTCAGTAAATCTCTGATTCAGATCAAAGGATGTTCTTATGGGCATTTCTCCTGTACTTATTTGAGATTCTGCGTTCATTTTAACAAACAGCTCCACTGGAAAACAGTACACAATTTGGAATACTTAATCGTCGATGATGTAATTTTGTAAAATACTTTATTGAGAAAAAAATTTTTCTTTTTTTGCTTCACAGGTTTGGAATGCTAGCAATGGTCATCTGTTAAACAAACTTGAACCTGTGGAGGAAAATGAAGTGACAGGAATCATATCTCTTCCAGAAAAAAGTAAAATAATTACAGTGGGATGGAATCGCAAGATTTTGGTCTACTATGATGATATGCAGGTGAAGAAAGCAAAAAAACGTTCCTTCTAGTAAACGTTTAAGAAAGCTGGTGGCGCTGTAGAATTTGATGAAATTTTTAGATACGCACATGGAAGAAAGAAGTCATTGTTGGGAAGGGAACATTTCAGTGTTCTCAATTTTAATTTGGTGAAGTCTACATACTGTTTTATATTGACTTTCCTAGCTCTTTGAAGTTCTTCGGATTTTCGTGGTATGAAGCGCGTGGAAGTAATGCCACATTTTTCTAGAGGGAATGTTACACCGTGGGAGGCTACACTAAGTATTTTGTCGGATTTTTTCTAAAAATTTGAGGTTAGAGGTTCTGTGGGGGTTAAGTCTTCTGTTCAAGAAAGCAACACAGAGGTCTTAGCAAGATCACAAACCCTATTTGTCGATCAGCAGTCGCGGTGTTTCCCACTAATGTCAACTGTTTTGATATTTTTTCTCTGTTATCTAGACGTTTTGTCTTCGACCCAACGCAGGTTGGAAAGGAGGGCAGTTGCATCAGGTATAAGAAGACAATTGTTAAAATGCAGACCAATTGTTTGAGCAGTGATTTACAAATGTAAGTTTTGCGTTTAGACTTAAGTTTCCTCCATAGCTTACTGAGCTTGCCGCTTCATCTCTAGGATGACATTTTGACCGCTGCCTACTGTCCCCCAAATTACCTTGCCACGGCAAGTTTTGACGGAGATATCATTCTTTGGGGTCTGGATCGGGAGAAGATGATTCGACGGCTGAAAAAAGGATCTGGAAGTCTGTTGTGAGTTGATTGCCTTTCGTATATTATATTTCAGTCACCTCCTTGTGTGTAATATTAACTGTTATTGTTTCTGTTTTTTCATGTTACTCTACCAAGAAAAGCCAAGATTAAAAAGCTGGGTCTTATCCAGACGAAGAAATCTTAGTAAGTCGCTGCCATGATTTATTCCTTGAACTGATTTTCACGTCGCGAAGAGAGATTTATTGTTTTCTGGCGAGTTCTTTTTCTGACGCGCTGGTTACTCTTCGTTTGCTATTTTTCAGTCAAAATAGCTGTGGTGCACCGGTTGACAAGTTGTTATTTCTTACATCAAGAGCTCAGTGGAGGACTCAGGAGAGCGCTGTTCTTGTGTCATCGGAGGCTGGTACTCTTGAGTTTTGGTGTTTTTACGGCGCAAACAGACCCATGGGTATGTACCTCAATATTTGAGGTGTTACAATTGAGACAAGTGAATCCAACAATATTTTTCCCTTTCTTCACATATCTATTGCACTTGACGTGCCACAGGAAGATATTTCGCTGCCAGTGACGAGGAAAGTACTATATTTGCCTTAACAACCGACCCCAGTAACGAGATGTTGATAACTGGTGATTCCAACGGCACCATCTCTGTGTGGGACATCAGCTCTTACTGCATTTCAAGAGCAGAAGCCATTGTTGCTCAGGTTGGTTGATCATTTTTCCAGAGGAGAGATGTATTACTAATGAAAATTTGCAAAGTAACAGGTTTTTCAAACCATTTGTGAAATTTTCGGCTTTATTAACCGATTCCATTGCCGTTTTGAATTACTTTTAATTCATCAACATGAAGAAGAGCACCGGAGCGGCGGGAAAACGATAGTTATATGACCTTTCCACAAATTTGTTCTTCAGGTTTGGTCGACAACTCAAAGAGCTGGCTCTACCGATGATAACCCAGAGGGCAAACCTCCACTACTCGCCAGTTGGCATGCGCATAAAGGCTCTGTATCCAGTGTGGAGTACATATCACGTGATAAGGGCGCTTTATTGCTTTCCGCTTCTGAGGACTGCACAGCAAGGCTGTGGACACTGAGTGGGCAATACATCGGAATGTTTGGACAGGTCATTTAATTCAGCTTTTTTTGCTTTTTATCATATCATTGGAATGAGTCATACATATGTATGCTTATCTTTTGTCAACTTTGTGATTATTACTCTTTTGTTCTTGTAGAAGAGGTTGTGGAGTGTTGAAGATCCAACTTCCTACCGACTTACAGGGTGAGAAGGCTGTTGTGTCATGATCAGTATTGGTATGAAGTTGTCAATTTACTCCTTTTGCTTAATCTGTATTTGTTTTGTTTCGTTTTGTTTAGAAATAGTGGTCTCGAAGGAAAGGAAACCGAGGAAGGTAAAACATGACCCTAATCATGATATTATACTCAGCACGTTGTTTTACACTAACTTAGTTGCTCGATAGTGTAACTAAGACGTCAGTCTCCGATGGCTCTCGGCTTCAACTCGTCGCAGTCGAACCCTACCAAATTTCAGCAATCGAATAATGCGATGCTAACATGACAATTTATGGAAATGTCAAATATGCTTCTAAATGCCACGCAAGTTAAATCTTACAAATAAAATGTGCTAAGAGATTTTTTTGGCGTCTTTTCAGTAAAGGAAACTGACAGGAAGAAAAGTCATCTGGGCGAGATGGGTGGTTCAAATGGTGACTCACCCTCCCCTCTCAGTTTAAGTCCAGTTCAACGAGGCACCAGTCCATCAATCTCTGACCCGCCTCGGTTAAGCAGAAGGTGAGTGTTTCTTGTTCTCGGTTTATCTTGGATCGATTAAAAAATTGTCCTCTGTCATGTATTCTACATTGAGTTTGAGATTTGTTTTTGCGTTGTTACATTTTTTATTTAGAATAAGAAAGATGGTCCTTTTTTTTGGAGCTCGGTAAAAAAGTAGAGAAAGATGTTTTTCGTCTTCTCACAAGCGTAGGACTAAGAAACAACTCTTGAGTCCCCGTGTGGAATCGAACCTCAGACCTTCGGGTTATGCGCTCTAATGCTCTACCATTTAGTCACGGAGACTCTACGGTGAGCGAGGCCAATTTCAAAGTTCATATGAGACAAGCGTCCTGCATACTGCTAGGATCAGCAATGTCAATAGTGTCAAGTTTGTAAATGGAATACGAAAGATGGTAAATTTTTACCTCGGTAAAGAAATGGTGAAAGGTGTTTTTAATATTACGTTATTAAAAACAAAATATCGTTGCAGTTTTGACTTACACGCAATCACAATGTAAATCATTCTATCTCTTACGTCATTTAGCACACCCACAACACTTCGCGAGTGCAGCTTTTTGCCAAGCATTGAAGTAGCAATGGTAGGTGAAGGTGGAAGCGAAGAGGATCCATACTCCTGGAGGAAAAATGAATACTACAGGTCCATGACCAGCTTGGTGTTGGAAAGATCCTCCAAGAATTCACAGTCGTGGGTAAGTTAGTGTTTATTAGCACTGCACTCGATCTTTGTCTGGTCTCGGTTGTCAAGTCGATCTAATCGTTCAACGGGAGCTTTCCAGCTTGTTTTTTTATTGCACGTTACTTACCAATCAAATTAAACAAACAAATTAGGAACAGGATCGAACAATTTGTAGCCAACAGAGAGCTTTCCAGCTTGCTGAAGATGCAAAGAACAGAGGCTTCCCATAACTTTCTGTAGTTTAATTACGTACCTACTACTACGCTCTTGTTTAGTAGTAGGCTATATTTGCGCTGTTCTAAGTTGATCTATACGAATCTTGAAAACGTTTTTTCGAACGATTATCGTAACACAAAGGTCAGGCCTTTTTTGGTCTTTGTTAGAGGCTGGTATGAAGGTGTGCAGTGGAAATTTGGAATTCCCAAAGCGCCAAGATACCAAACTAATGCGATCCCTGATGACAACTGAGGCCAAATTGTAACTTGTTCTGTTCTTGTCATGCATGTCTTTGTTAGTCCATCCTGGGGGATCATTACAACAAGGATTTTAGGCGCCGCATGGAGACGAGGCAATCACGAAGAGATCACGTGGGTAATGTAAACCGAAAGTTGATGTGCGGAGGAGGATTGGGAAACGCCTGTTCTCCTTTCCAAGCGCTTCATATCCCTGTAAGTTGATCTAAGAATGTGATTGATAAAAAGTTTTTTTAAAGGGAATACAGGCATAACTACTTAATTTGCAGAAAATAATATTCTTTCCTTGGTGCATGAATCTAACATGTTACAAATTTCAACTCCTACTTTTCAGAAGTTTATTAACATGTCTACAACTCTAGATAAACAAAATCTTTACCATTTTATCCGAGTCCTTCAATTTTAATTTAATTACAAACCTTTCTTCAGCTGAAACCCTGTTGCGTTTTCAATGGAACGGAATGGAGGCTCTAGGCGAGGCGGCGCGAAGAGCGTGTCACGTGCAAGGGGAGGATACCTCCCCTCTCGCTCGTCAAGAGCTTGTCTCCGTTCGACTGAAAAACGCAAATAATTACGCCTGTTCTTCAGGAGATCCATCTAGGGGGCAAAAAAAACAGAAACAAAAGACCAAAACTAAAGGAAAGCAATAATTGCTACATATGTATTCCTCTCATAACAGGACACGAAAGAATACGAGCTACCTAAGAACATGCCGGTGACATCCCGTATGACGCATAAGACGAGCAGAGCGTCAGCAGAACCCATCTGGATGGCCGTCAGACAGAGTACATTGCCGCCATTACCAGCGCTCAAGAGATCTGACAGCTTCCTCACGATGGCGGATTCTGCTTCAGGAAACACATCGCAGTTCTCGTTTTTGGTTGAATAGGACTGAAGGAAGGCCGCAGCAAGTAGAATTCGGGACCAACAGCTTTAGTGTTGTAGTGATCGGCATCATTGCAGTTACAGAAAATCTGTTTCGTAGTTGACCATACTTCAAGAAACGTAAGGGAGAACCACTGGAGATAAGCCTCATATTTCGTGAATAAGTGGATGAACTTTATTTAAGACTGCTTAACTCTCCTCTGCAAATGTTCTAGTAAATGCGGTCATCGCGCCAATAATAAATTATATCTCAGTTGTGGAACAGCTGGTTTATGAATTGAAATTCATAAGGAAAATGTCGAATCAAATTTTTTAGTTGATGCTGGGCACAATACAAAAAAGTGATTGAATTAGATAAAAATTAGCACCAGCTGCGAGGATAACAGTGTAAATGTGTATTATAGTTTCGCTGATTTTCAGCAACAAATCCTGGGATGTATACTTTATACGGTAAATTATATTATCTATTATGAAGTTAGATACACCGAGTGCCTTATAACAACACCACTTCCGATATTTATGTTATGAAAATGATAATAATATGAAAAGATTTCTGACTGATAACGGACTTATTTGTAAATATATATTGTATGTTATGTACTATTTAGAACGTTCGTGCAGAAATTTTTTTCAGTTATGCCAGGAGTTGAATCAGGATTCAAAACTCCTCCATGAATTTATTCAAAATTCAGTCTAGTAGATGAGGCGAAGGTTCATCTGATCTATCAAAGGACTGCCTCAAATGAAGAAATAAATAGAGCATTTAACTTTTTACAAACCATTATTTTTGTCCCAGGCTGTGGAAGAATAGCGCTAAGTTATTTCGTTTTCTTTTGTTTGTTTGTTTATTTTTTTCTTAGCAATTATCACATAACCACTGTTACCGAGGTAACCTACCCAAAACTGACCAATCCGATCACAGGAAACGCACAATGAATTCAACCAAAATTGTTTATTTCTCTTTGCTTGCCTTGGTCTTAAGCACCGATAAGCACAATTGAATTTAGGTCTTCATGGAATCACTGTTCGCTTCTCGTGTTGTTATCGATGAATTTTGTTCAGTGACAGTAGTGGACCTGTAGTGCCATGTACGTTTGCAAATCACATTACCTGTTCCAGGCCTCTGGTTGATAAACAGCCGAGCGGTGGATGAGGCATAGTGAAAAGTAGGGAAAGTTCCTTCACAGAGTCTCTCAAAAAGACATTTCGAGGATGAGAGGAAGGATCTCGTGATGAAAACTTTGACAATCTGAAAACAGGTTGATATAAAACTATCGAAAGAAAACGAAGATTTTTTTATTTTACCTATCTGATGTTGAATATCCGTGAGTAGATCAAGAAGAATACGTGTAAAGCTAAGTACAAGTATTAAACTAAGGAAGTCAGCCAGTAATCGCTAGAAAATTACATGAGTATAAAAGAATTTCCACTTTTCGTTGTCAGTTTAGCATTATTTTATTGTTTCTATGTACAACTCATTAGAATCTGTCGTATTATTTCAGGGGCCTTTAATGTAAGTAACAAGCAGTATCCAGTATCAGATTTGCTTTAAACGTTTCTGATTTTATCGGCAGTTTACTGTCGAGTCAAATATATGCTAGATCGCCTGAGGTGCATTTTACAGTCTTCTGCATTAACCATGCTGACATTGAGGATCGTTTGTACTTTTTTTCTGTCCATTTTGTTTTGCTATTGTTTTTTTTTTTATCATTTCACAGTTGTCTTGAACGACTTTTTGGCAATTTTAGCCATAACTGCAACTAAATCTTTTTTCGTTTGCTTTAATAAAGTTTCACTGGAATTGTTTAAGTATCTATAATGGTGTGTTTCAGGTTGTGCGTTTTCTGTATTCATCAAGGACTTATGAACAAAGTCGCGTTACTAATTTAAAGAGTGAGGAAACAGCTTTTTCTTGTTGAAAGTTTATACTTTCAAATATCCACATAAGGACTCAGAAATCATCCATCAGATTTGTTCTGTTACTGACAGGGGATCTCGCTCCCATATTGATGGAAATGTTCTCTAGGATTGTTCTTTGAGATCGCAGCTCCGTCCGTAACGTATTGAGACTAGAAATACGATGGAAAAGAGAATTCGAGTTTGATTGGATGTGTGAATGAAAAAAAAGATGAATGCATCGACGAAAGAGACTGTGAATGATTGAATAAGAGACGAATGAATGGATTACTTGAGTAAATGACGATTGGAATCGACAACAAAGAAAAAAAAAACATCGTAATAATAATCATAATTGAATCGCTTAGCATAACCTTGAAGTGAGTTCCATGGCTTATTCTTGCTACTCTTACCCATTTTCTACTACTTAATGTGAAGTTGTCTTAAGAAATGTTTTTTGTGAAGGAAGCATCATTCACCTTTCTTGTTGCGTTTTGAGTTGTTCTTGAAGCTCTTTCATCTTGTCTTCTTCGTGGGATGGCTTAGTTTTTTCAATCATTCGAATTGAAGCGTAATCCACTAGCCCCAGAGACCACTGACGAGTAAAAAATGCACAAAAAAAAATCTTCAGCAGTCAACCAAGGTATTCATTATTATTGTATTCATCTTACAGCTGTTTTTTAATACCTGTAGTGCGTTATCTTACCGTTAATTTCCTCACAAAAGACATGGATCCCGAGTTTGGCCAAAGAACCAGCTTGGGAGAATATAGGCGATCTTTCATACTAGATGGCAGCTTTTTTTCAAATTGAGACAGTGACTCTATCTGTTGAGAAAGATTGTGGTTGGATTAAAAATAACAATTTTCAGTTGTCCCTGAGCTGTCGTTCTGCGCCTACCATCTGAGAAATACATGAAAGTCATTCTACGATGATGATGGTTTGCTCTCCAAAATGTGATGTAGAGGGAAAAGAGAATTCTGCTTGGCTTGTTGACTCTTGGGGTATCGTCCTCTAGCCAGACCAGAGTATACGATTGGAGAAGAACTGCAAAAATACATTTCACCGCTTTTGACCTCGACACTAACACTGTAGATAATAAATAATTTTCTGCCCTATCTCTTGTGCTGGTTGGTTGAGATTTATGTTGACTCTGTAAACAGAATGACTGGGAGAGATACGTGGACAAAAAGGATGCCAACGTGTTAAACAAAAAATCAGCCTGGTCACTAACCTGTGTCCTCAGACGTTTGAGCTCGGCATTCTTTTGTACAGACTCAATGTCCCCAACAGCCAAACCAATCTGCAAAGAAATTAGAAAAAAAGAGAAAACATGCCGATGGGGGCGTGACTAAAATAAAGCGGCACTGTATAAAAAATTGGGAATAACATTGCGATCGCTAAAATATTAACTGACATTTGACTCAGCTAATTTGGTGTCAGTATACATTTACGACTGAGAGTTTTTCTCCTGTAGACATTTCCTGAAATGTTTACAGCTATCAATTGAAAGTAATATGTATTTGGAAACCAGCTTTGAGGAGAAATGTATGAACAAATGGATAACAACACAACACTACACCACAATTAAAAAAGTTGAGGCGCGAGGTCAGTTGTTACTCACCAACAGGTTCATTAGCGAGATGGACATAACGAGGATAAATGTGAAACAAATGAAGCGGGCCAGATCTGGCATGCGAAGTTCCAGGTTCTCCACAAAGTAATGGTTGAATTCGACTCCACCAGCCATCATGTCGAACACCTTCAAAACTGACATATACGGGGAAGTATACGACAACTGGAAAACAGCAAAAAAAAAAAATAATGACAATTATGATTAAACGGGCTCACTCGTGAAGATCTCTCAAATTGGAAGCTCAGTTGGTTAAGCGGTGCACGGGTATCGCAGAGGTCATGAGTTTAAATCCCGTACAGGCCTGATTTTTTTTTCAGGCGTTATTTCTACGACTGCTCAAGTAGTGTTCATTACTGCGAAGATCGCTTTCATATTTACTTCTTTATCTGCAGTTCAAATATATGACATTTATGTATTCACAGTTGTTAGTAAACTGATTCTATTCTTATCACCTCATCTCCCAAGAGCAAGTAAAATATCAATCCATAAGCCGCAATAAGCAAGGAAAACACAACGATCACCTGAAAATAAAACCAGCAGATAAACAGTGATGTGTTTAAGATTATTTGAGGACATTTGATCCGACTGAGCCAAATAACAAATAATGAAAACTTCTTAAAAAGACAGTAAAGCCTCCTACAAGAGATCAGCGGGAAAAATCTGATGAACTAACTAACTGAGAGACCACTGGCGAAATATTTTCAGCCTTGGTGGCGATGCGCATTTAGGTGGTGTTCATGCCATGATACAAATAACACTCATTTGCTCTCACTTAAACAGCCTCATTATGACCAAGAGAAATTACAGGAATAAGATAATGTTATTAAAGATATTTAGCACTGTTTGCGATACAAACCTTGAATACAGATTTAAGGACCTCCAACAGCATTGTGACGTAGATACCTGAGCAGAAAAGTCTGAAAGGATGCAACAATAGTGTATTATTGTCTTATATATTTCCTTAAACTTTCATGTGATGAAAATCCTGATTTCTATAATTTTTCTTCGTCGCAAGGAGTTTTCATGGGCGCAGGAGAGGAGTCTGAGATAAAATCGTAAATCATATATTGGTTTTACCTTTCCTTTTCGGTGGATGTCAAAGTTTGGTATATTATGGTTTCTGGCATTATCTTAATTCAGTAAGATGAAAGGAAACCAATTTCCAATTATTTTGCTGACCCTTCTGGTCGCGAATAAAGGGGATAAGTTTCTAAAGAAATTGTGATGTTGCGTCGGTGGGAGAGTATAAAAGGCTGGTTTATATCATAAACTGACCACCGTAAAGAGTTTTAAAATTGACGTTTCGAGCGTTAGCCCTTCGTCAGAGCGAATGACTAAGGACTAACGTTCGAAACTTCAGCTTCGCAAATTTTTAAGGAGGCCAATTTACTTAATCAACTCAGCTGATAACACTAAATCACTCTTTTAATCGTGGCTCCATATGATTACAATGATCGTACTTTTCATGTCATTCTGTAAATCGAAGCCAACCTCTTCTCATTTTAATAACTTTAAGCAGGACCGCTGAAAATCGGCGTTCACGAAGAGAAAATTCTCGATTATTCTCCTTTTAAGCATTAAAATTCACTTCTGATTCATCACTTATTTTAGGTAAGCCGGAAAACATGCGATCCAACTACTGTATTTGGGTATTTACTTACAGTTGAAGCTGTAGAAGCATGGCGAAGAATGCCATTAACAGTGCTATGATCCCGACAGCCCATTGGTGGTCTTGCCCATCTGGTAGAGTGACGGCCATGATTGTTGTCACGTAGGTGGAAACTTCCAAGAAATTGGTCAACTCAAAATACATCCAGCGCTGAGAAAAAATAGATGACCATGAAAAATTATCTTCAACCAGTTCAAACGTTACTCAAAAGTATTAAGTTTGTTACTTGAAAGAAACGTAAAAACTCGCACATACGAACCTCGTTGTAGAGTTGGAAAGCTTCCAAAAGTAGGTTTGACGTACAGAAAATAAGCAGAAAAATCTTTTGTGGATAATTCCAACCATCATTGCAGTGTCTCTGGGAAAGAATTATATTCTGCGTTGTGAAACGAATTCTGTTCTTGCTTTTAAATTGAGTCATCCCCTTTATTTCATAATTTAAGCTCGTCGATTGTATCCCGAGGAATTTAGTTTATTACATATTTCTATTCGTAATAGAGGAAGAAAAAACATGATTTCATATCATGATTCAGATCTCTGGAACAAAAATTAAAATAAAGCTGACAATGTACCATGCAATTATGTCATATTTGGTAAAGATGTGAACTTTCATGAATTGTAAATTTTTCTCATAACAAACAAACAAACAAACACTAGAAAGTAAAGGATGGAACTCGGTCGTACGGACAGGACTTTTCATTCAGGGAACATCCAGATAAGAAGGCAACCCTTAGGCTTTCACATTGAAGTTAAAGCAAGATCTGGGTACAAGATTGATTGCGATTGATGTTAAACTAACCTTAGAAATATCGCTTTTGCAGTAAAGGTAGAGAGAAAATACGGACAGGAACGTTAAATAAAAGATTGCTCCCATGAGAAACACAGTCAGACCAATACGTCGCCTGTTTGAAAACAAAGAAAAGAAATGAGATGCAAAAAACTGGTGTGGATTTGTCGCGAGACAAATCTTCTAATGTCACCGTAAAAAAAGTGTCTGCATTGCAGTTTCATAATTTAATTTTTTCAAATTTCAATTGTTTTGTTCAATTCTCCCTACATTTCATATCATACTCCTTTAAACAAAGGTATGTTTACTAAGAAAGCGAGTATAAGCGGAAAAGGTCATCATTGTTAGGCAGTATCATCCTACATACCATTTCATTCGTACCAGCTCCCTGGTGAGAGGATGAAACAAAAGTTCTTCACGGCCAGAATCCAACATTGTCTACGGAAGAACCGATGTGACAAAAATTAGGACCATGGGCTATCTAGAGTACACACAAGAGATTATAAACAGTTTATATCCTCTTGGTACACATGTATATGCTCTACTTACGATGTTGATGTTTTCTTGACGATGGCAAGAATAAATGTTCAGTCTTGTTATCGATAGACGTTCTCAAGCGATAAATGTTATTTGTTTCAATCCTTTCGTTCATCATACCTTTAGTCCACAATATCGTTCTTGGTTGAGGTCAAATTCTTCATCCGAGTTTGGAAAAATAAAACTGAAGTCGTAGGTGATCTGAGAAGAGATTAAGGGAAGAAATTCAGATGGCATCCTTTAACACGTTTAGATGTTCGAGTCGGTGTTTTACTTCTGCCCTTACCGTATAATTTGGATCTGTGTCCAGAAGTGGCGAATGCTCGATACATTTGTCTAGCACAAGCTGTAGATAAGATGCCAAAGAGGAAGACAGATTTTAATTGGGATGTGTGTGTGAAATTGACATTTTGGTGCGGAACTTGTTTGGAGTTATTTCTCACGTGGAGATAGACATTGAATAAATTTAGATGGGCAATCATGAATTTTATGCAATACTGAATAGCCACAGTTTCGTTACGATTTTGCCCCGTCATGGTGCAGTGCTATGGACTGAGAGTATTTGACTGCAAGAGTTTGATGATAATTTAGTTGATGTTTAATTGGCGTCTGGGGAGCTCCCTCTATTTGAACATTTCAGGAACGACAAACGGTAAAATTGGAACTCTCGCCGTCTTATTTCCGCTAATTTTTGCTGACTTGATTGAGAATTCAGGAAAAGAGCGTAAAATCACAGTTATTGCTTGCTAATTTCGCCTTGCCGTAAACGTCATACTTTTTAACCCTCTTTTGACCCCTCACACCCTAACATCAGTATGCATATTCTCCATGCTGTTCTTGATACATTTCCTATGGAGCTGACAGAGAGAATCTGTTTAACATTCAACAGCTTCTTTCGTTGGCGATCATTTCTTTCATTCTTCTGACCTTGATGTATGATTCAGGGGTGATATTGTAAGGAGAAATTAGATGCTAATCACTCAGGAGTTCAAAGGCTAATGATAAACAAACGTACTTTAGCGACATCTGGAAACCGTTCAATGAGTCGCCGCATGGGTGATACTCCCTCACATTTTGTGTTGCTTAAGACTTCCCGCCACCTGTGAAAGAATCTTTTGTTTAGTGTGAAATCAGTGGACAAAGAAAAATAAAAAATTCAGTGTCTCAAGTATCATGTAATTACACAAAACATATCTTAATGATAATACATACTTTTCGTGTTTAATTATTTCCATACAGACTTCCTTGTTTCCAGCCCTGACAGCGGCATCCAGGCAGTTGTAGCCTGTCGTTGATACTATTGTCATATCTGCTCCTAACCGAACGAGCTTTCGAAAATTTTTGTTGTTTTTGAAAAATGCTGCAAATACCAACGGAGGCTTCTGCAATTTAGAAAAAAATACAACAATTTCAGACGATTTGTTAACAATCTAAATTGTAGCGTAATTGCGACGTTCAGTTTATTTTAGATTTGGCTATGTTTGCTTTTATTTATTGTAACTCAATCAACGGAAGTCTTCACATCCATAGTGTAAAGTAATTAGGTTGGGATGCTGACCTGTAAATAGAAACCTGATGATTTCAACGTATTGACTGAACATTACGATGACCGATTTAGAGAGCCTTATGCAAAGCGCTCCTTTGGCTCTGATAGACACGTTTTTTCATTGAAACACCCTCATGGAATTTAAAATTCAGTACTTTACATAAATTGAATAAACGGACCCATGCTGACTCATACATCACAAGTGGCAGACTATGGTGTTTACATGTGAATAATTTACCACGTCAATTTACTGGGTTCAAAGTCCTTAAAGTTTTTGTTTGTACCAAAAAGCCAGCTACACTAGCTGCTTTCCACTTACTCGATTCTTCTCAAGAGCATTGATATCTGCCCCATGATACAGCAACGTATCCATTGTCGCAGGGCAACCACATATGGTAGCATGAAACAACGGTGTAAAACGTTCATCATCCCTGCAGCCAACAAGAAGAAATCTTCAGTGTGCATCCATAACTATGATACTCGCTCTTTTCGCGAGTCAAAATTTTTGTTCCCAAAATTCATGATCAGTGTTTTTCGTGGCAAGGAGGAATAACTGGTAACTCGGTGCACACAAATGAGAAGCATGATTAGATTACCAGCCATTAATAATCATTTCCATGTTCAGTTACCTGTAGTCAACTTCAGCACTATTTTGTAACAAATGAGTTGCTACTTTATCTCTTCCCTCGGCTGCTGCAAAATGGAGAGGCGTGCGGGATCCATAGTCAATGTCATTTACAGACTCTGGGCATGCGCTTAGAAGCGATCTCACGGCACAAAGAGCTCCAGCCCTAAGAAACAAAAAAATAAAGGAGCGCGTTATTTTCAAACTTTATTAACTAAATTTAGTCTGTCCACCAAATGAACCTTCGGATCCTGCCTTGAATTTTTTCGTTTATAAACACTAAATCTATTTCCTTAACCTTCTCAATATGAATAAAAAACCGACAAGAAATGCAATTCCGATTTCCAATGTTTGGCGCCTATAATGTATGAGCAATTCCATAGACTTTTATTGAGCCAAATGTGTGAACGAAACCTTTTTGCTTTGAAATAAACGGGCTGTTACATTTTATTGCGCATAATGAAACTATTTTATTTTCCTTGGATGTCAATTTGAAGAGTAAATTTACTTAAAAAATATCTAATTGCGTATGAAATCGGTAAAGGACTTGTCAATGCATACTCTGCAGCAAAATGAAGAGCTATTTTTTCTTCGTTGTCTTTTGCCCTGACATCAGCTCCCACAAGGATCAGACGGTTGATTATCTATAAAATGTGAAAGGAACATGTCAAGTGCAATTAGTGTTCTCACCAGTGTACGTCTTGCTATTAAGACATGACTGAATCTAGGTTAACCGAAGACTTTGATGTCAGTGTCATGTGACACCAGAGTGTGACGGGCTTCATTTGAGATAGAGGTGAATATAATATCTGATTGAAAATAGGCAGAGTACTGCTGTCGCTGGAATGGGATTCTACCTGAGGAAAATTGGGAGGTAACCATTAAACAACACTGATTCTCGCTGGAAAATGGGGTTTGCACCTCCACCTGCTTTGTGACCCGTAAAGAGACCTCTTAAATCTTGATTTTTTGTGCTTTACATAATACTTACATCGACATTACAGGTGGCGGCAGCATAATGTATTGCTGTCTTCCCATACTGATCTTTGCTCTCCAAAAGGCTATGACCTCCATTCTGAAAAAAAAAGCGTTTAAGTTTCACCACCTTTAAATATGATGCTGCATTATTCTCTTTTTGAAGCCAGAGGTTTAACGTGGACCTAGCAAAAAATATGGATTCAGAGGGAAATAGTGATGGACCTGTAGTGTTTGTGATCGATTCAGTAACCTTTACTGCATCATTTTATGGCTGGTTTTTCCCCTTTTAAACAAACTTATTTTACCAAGGGAAGAAAAATTTAATCCCAGCCACAACCTTTTCCTTAAGTTTTAGTTAAATTACCTCTAAGATTAAGTCTACAGTTTCAATATCAGCACATGCCACCGCTACATGGAGGCAGGTTCTCCAGTTTAGGTCTTTATATTTCAGCGAAAAACCGCGTTCCAAGAAATATCTGACAGCATTGTGTTGGCTTCGTTTCACAGCACACATTAAGGGAGACGGGGTGCAACTATCTGCGACTGGATAGAGCCTAGCTCCCTATCAGCAGCAAAAGGTTAAAATGGCACAAATGTATGAGTAAGAGTGACCATTCATGTATCAAAATTCAAAATAACTATAAGAAATATGACCACAGGACAAGAAAATGTTACGAGTGATCTAGTTGCGAGTGCTCTTAGTTTCGGTCAGATGAGTGAAGTACCGGGAGATTCAGGAAATTTATAAGCGAAATGAAATAAAAACCAGAGAAACTCATGGTTCGGTTATCAAAATAAATGTTCAAAATTCCAAGAGGATCATTAAAAAGCTTGGAACAAACTGTTACTGAGTAGTAGTTATCAGGGAGCTAGGATATCATTAACAATAATAACACTTTGATACTTGTGCAAGAAGAAATTCGATGATTGGGACGTGCCCTCCAAGCGAAGCCCTGAAGAGAAAGTAATAATTAATATAGTGAATACATGTGTGGAAAACCGGGGTAAAATGGTGTAAGGCTTACAATGTTTTATGCATCAAGAAAACCCAGCCACCAAGAGCACAACTTCGCACGAATGTTAGCAGTTGTCAGTCTCGTAATGCACTTAATTTAACCGAGGTATGGTCCTAAATAAAGAATAGCAGGGACCAGATCCGCTGAAACTCTTTCTCAGGCTCTCTCTTCTTCCCGCCCCTTCGAGCGAAGAAGAGAAAAAACTGAGAACAAAGTTGAATTTGATCCTGGTCAAGCAACCAATTAGGAATTGGGCCACTTTCGATTGATCCATGCACTAACTCAGGGAAAGGACAGAGAGGTCTTTTCATTACCTCAACAAAGGTGTTAAGCCGTTACCGTCTTCACTTTCAATCTTAGCACCTTGTTGAACCAATAGCTTTGTAATTTCTAGGTCTCCATGACTACAAGCTAAGTGGATCGGAGTGGAAAAATCATCCTGAAATAAATTATATGAAACAATCAGAGTCTCAGCTGCAAAACAATTTCGGTAGTCATCTATGATCCAAAAAGGGATTTATCTTTTCAAATGAAAGTTTTTTGTGCGCTGAGAAGTTTTTATTCTTTTTTTCAATTTTTTATCTTCCTCGTCTGTGTTTTAGGTTGAAATTTCTCAAAAATGTTTTACAGATGATCTCGTTAAGTTCACCAAAGGTAATTTCTAAATTTATGGTATTGTTATTAAATACGGCCTCTCTCCAGGCGTTGAATTAACAAACATTAATGTTTGTTTCCTTTCACTATCATACACTTTATGTATGATCCCGAGGTAGACAGTTGGTTCTGTTTTCCTCGACTTCGTCTCAGGAAACATCAGGACTCTCGGGAAAACAAAACTGACCAGTTTCCCGGAGGACCAACTATTAAGTACTTTGTCATATATTTAGACTTTCTCTTAAACAATCACACGTGACCAAGAATCAACCAATCACAGTGCTTGTTTTGTTTTGTGAAAGTCTAGGTATATAACAATTTCCCATGTTGGTTCTATCGCGCTGTTATGGACCACTGTTATTGAACGCTTGGAAAAGGCCATGCTAAATATGGAATAAGTTCAATACAATTATGTACATTTCTACCTGTGCTGTACTTATGTCAGCCCCAGACCCCAAACATAACTCCACGATCTGCAGAAAATCAAATGTATATCAAGTTCTAAAAGCAAAGAAGGGGTAAAACTCATGATTAAATTGCTGCCCTCTGAAAACAAATCTAATTGGTCATAGGTAATTTGTTTTCTGACGAGTAATTGCTCTGATCAATTTCTAAAATTAAGTTAGAGTGACAATTATCTGTACCGACCTCTCTGTGTCCATGTTTTATCGCTAGGTGCAAGCAGACGTTTCCGTAACAATCAGGACTGTTTAACAGTGTCTTTGTAGACAAACCACCACTTTTGGCTGGGGAGAAAAAATACACTCTATAATATTTTGATTTTCACAGCATGTTAGGGTAGTTCCCGACTAAATTTGATAAAATCCATTTTCAGATCTACTCCACATCGTTTCCTTTCACATTCGACTTTGTGAAATGTTACCTTTTTTGAGGATCTCCTTGAAGGAATCCACGTGACCTTCACGTGCCGCAAGGTGTAGCGGTGTGTACCCGTCATTGTCCCTACGAGCCACGTCTGCTCCGTAGAACACCTAAGAAGTAACAAGGTTCAGGGAACCTGATTAGAAATCGTATATTGTGCTGTCAAGCCAATGAGAGACGACTGAGATGTGCTGAATAGCATTTCTCTCCAGTGATTCCTGCAGTCATCCTCTCACCCGAGAAAAAACTGCCGCGTTTGAACCTTGAGGTTTCAACGGGCTTGAACGCAGTAAATAACCCTTAAACTTTGGCCAGTAAAGTCAATTTTCTCTAGAAAAATGCACTTTTCGATAAATGATTGGGATAAATTTCAACCCTCACCAGTTTCCTAATGACTTCAATCTGGCCGGCCTGTGCTGCAGTGTGCAGTGGAGTGGCTTTGTCGTTATCTTCATGGTCCACGTCAGCTCCTCCTTCATTTAGCAGAACCTGAATAATCCAAGTAAGAAGAAAACCGTCTTAAAATAACTGTGCAACTTTTCTATATGTTTTTTGTCATTGTAATCACCCTGACTTAACACCGGTAATGGAAAAGATGGGTTGTTTTTCCATCCTTGACGTTGCCTTTTGGCTCACTTGTTCTCATTCCCTCATTTTCATTTAATTTACTATTTTTTTAAAACTATTTTAAGTACTGATTTTACTTTTAATCTACTTAACATGCTACAGCTGTTTACCTCAAGAACACGTGTATGTCCTTTCCGTGCAGCATAATGCAAAGGTGACTGACCGTTGCAGGTTTTCTTCGTTATTTGGGCGCCATTTTGAATGAGAACTCGGCAAGCATCGAACGAGTCAAACTTGCTAGCGCATATTAGCGGTGTCACGTACATACAATTCTTAGTGGCCGGGATGTCAATATCTGTATGAAGAAGTCGCATGATTAGTTTCATGTCTCCTTTTCGCAGACAGTAGCTGGTTGTACAAGAACAAGTCAATATCGACCAATATACTTTTTTAAACGAAGGAGGGTGTAAATAATATTTAATTCTGAGACTGTTGCGGCGCTACTGCGTAGTTCAAGGGAAAAGTTTCCATTTCGGATTTTCAACCAAAAAGTTACGATTTTTTGTGACACGCAGAGCTGACGGAATAGTACCTTATTTAAACAAGTTGACTCTTTTTGGAAACCGACCGTCGTAGTTTTTTGCCGTTCGCTCTACCTCCCCCTCCACCGTGACTGCAACCTTGCACCAAAATTTCAACATTGTTCGGGACCCGGTTACAGTGAGCTCACTTTAGTACAAACTTGCATTTTGCCATCAGCACATTGATGCAAACCTTAAAACTTATCCCTCACCAGCTCCAGCTTTAAGAAGCAATTTCATAATCTGTACGAAGTTTCCTCTGGCCGCATGATGAAGAGGTGCCATTCCATCTTTGTCGTATTCATTACAAACCGAAGGATTTACTCTGATCAGCCTCTCAACTACAGTAGCCAGGCCATCTCTGCATGCCTAGGATTATCACAATAACGCACTTTGATATCAACGTAAGTGACGGTTGATTTTAAATTTATTGATATTTAATTCAAGGCTAAATATCTAGCGGAGACAGTTTGAAGCCACAAAGCTAAAATAGTCAGTGCAACCAGCCAAATAACATTTTACTGGTCACATGATGTGATTCATCATCTGCTTCCTCCTTAAACCCTCTTTTAGCTCAAGTGATCAAAAAGAAGCTCTGATTGGTCGGGAATAACGTTATTTTTAACCACACTTAATTATCATGAGGTGATTTCTCTAATAGGTTCAGCTGGAGTTATTCCTCGAGGGGCATTGGAAAGGAAGTTATAATCAGTGAAATAGGAAATTGAATCATGTTTCATGAGGTACACAATATCATTGCGGAAAATTTCCCTAATATATCAAGGGTAGGTCTGCAATTCTTGTTGCCTCAATATGACACGAAAAACATGGTCTGCTAAAATGGAATTTTCATTTGAATTTCCTTTTTTCAGCTAAGACGAAATTGATAATATTTGTATTTTGAAGAAGAGCTTTCTTTTCTAAAACATTAAACGATATACCCGCATAACGTTATTTGTCCATTTGCTTTCATCGCAAACAGTGCAGAACAAAGTTTAAATGTACACAGATAGCTTTATGATGCAATTTGGAATACATAAACAGTTGCAAATTTTTCGAAGATTTCAAATTACCTTCCCTCACTCTACGGGCTTGAGCAACTATTTCACTCTTTTAAAAATTTGCTTGCTCTTATATAGTCCAAATAGCAGTCCAGATCATTTTATTATATGAACAAATTACTTTGAATTAAGACCAAATAGCAAGGTGAATATCAAAATTCTAATCGCCAGGAGTTTTCCTATTGTCAACTGATATAATCGAATGAAATGTGAACTTCACAGGATTTATGTCTAGCTCAAAATTAGTCACTTTCTTTAAATTAAAAAGGTTAAGCTCAACAAAAAAGATGTTTCCAATTTTAAGTACCTGGGCGCATGATGACAGGTCGCTAAAAATAAAGTACCTGAACGAAATTTATCAACAGTAAATAAATTAACTTGCATGGGAAATGACGACGCAAAATTTAAGATTTTTCATTGAGTAGAGAAACAAGATAATCATATGGAAAAATGGATTCCTCAGTCACACAAAGTCAGACTAGTGATATCTCTACCGGAATCCATCTTTTATTTCCATCTAAAACTTAAAAATTGAAAAAAGGGGGTAATTTTGTATAGAAACTATGGTGCTGCGTCGGTGGGAGAGTGTTAACAATTAAAAAGCTATTTCATTTTATACTGGTAGTGATAAAATACCAGCTCTTTATAATTTTAAAACAATCCTCTGTCAGTTTTAAGTCATTTACAGCTGAATTTAAGAAAGGTGGAGGCTTGTTGATGTCCACGTAGTCTCATTTCTCTTACTTAAGTCTTCAATTCCTTTAAGTGGCTCTAAAATCGAGGCCTGAGTTCGGAAGATCATGCATCCTTTGCAACAAGGAAATGTCGTTTACAATGTTCAATTTTGAGTCAGATGGTCCCTTATACACTTCCATCGACAATATTGCAAGAGTTAATTAAATTAAGAGTTAATTAAATAAGTTGCATGAGAAATTTAAAAAATTACGACGAGAGCAGTTCCAACCATATTCAATGAAATAGATGGTGCAAAAGCATTTTTTTATGAGAATCAAAGGTCTCCAACAAAGTGCGCTTTTTATGATTTCGGAGCTCATGCATAACTTAATGAGTTTCCTTAGCTGCCGAAATGAGTTCATCTACCTGATTAACAACAAGCGAGCCGCCGGATAACCATCAAAATTTGCAACTATCAATCGGGGAAAAAATACTAAATGTTATTGTGTTTCAGCACAATAATCGTGTATTAATTAGGAAATCTGGATCATGTTGTTGTTTGTTTTAATATGATTAAGTCAAGAAACCCGCGAAGAGACCTTAGTGCCTAACTGAGTATCAATTTGATTCATTTCAACAGGCCAGAGATTTATGTTGAACAGTGGCCTCAGAATCCATGTCTTTTGAAATAAATCCATGTCTTTTGAAATAAATTGAATAGGAAATATAGTAAATTGGATGGAAAATCTCTTACAGTAGTCAGTCTTACATTCTAGCCTCATTTGTGATGAACAATTGTCTGTTTTCTCTCAAATGCAATCTCTAACAAACGCGTTTGGATCTTCTTCTTTACCATTGTCTAAAGAAAAATCCTCATCAAATATGAAATTTATTACATTTTGGCAACCTCACTCCTGGCGATTATAAAAATAATTTCGGTGAAATTGAAAAGGTGACAATTATACCATTCATTCCTTTTTTAAGTAAGTAACATATATAAAACAAAAATATATGTTGCCATTAAAAGATGTACTGATGACATGCATTGTAAAATGTGTTAGACTTTCGTAGGCCAGAGGGATCCTCCACATGCTAAGATGCAGCTGTCGCTAGAGGATAACACTCTTTTGAAAGCTGAATCATACTGAGACAAAGAACCCCTTGAATAGCACACAATTAATTTGAGATAAGTTGTAAAGGTAGTGCCTTTCTAGCTGATAGCATTTGAATTTAATAGGGTGCTTTTTTTGCTGTTGTCAAAGACAGTTACAGAAATTACCAACTGTTGTCTTTGTGGGTTTTCTGACTTCGAAGTCAAAACAACCACCTATCGCACTCAAAGAGCGCTTGTCGATAACAAAATTATTTGATATTCCCATCGAGAGTATTGTCATTTTTATAATGTAATAAATGCACTTGAGTGGGGCTGTCTGTTTTTGGCGTTGTCACTCATGTGTGCACCGCAATCGATGGAAAGTGATTTCACATGCCCTATATTTAATTGCTCTGAGATGAAAAAAACAAATCGAAGACTCCAAGATATTGTAATGGCTGAAATTTTTAAACATTTTGACAAGAAGGGTTTTGAGTAACAAACACATAAAATAAATACATTTTAATTTTCAGCGTATGTAATTAAGAAAAATCTTTTTATTATCAAGTAGCATCATTTTTCCTCCCTCATAGAGACTATGTATTTGTTAGCAAACATGCATTTCCAAACTTTTATTGAAACTGATTTCTTGAATCCCCCTGACATCTAGACATTTAAAGTTAAAGTCAATTCATTACCTGATGTAGGCTGATCCGCTTGCATGGGTTTCGCTCCACAGTTTCATCAATGCTTTGCTGAAGAGAATTTTCGTTCGTTGAATTATCAGATATTCTTCGCGAAGTTCTTCCTCTTAGAAGGGATTTGCGCAGAGACATGTCTTGATCATCCGTGATCAGTCCTTCCAATTTAATGTACTCCGGATCTTCTATCATTTTGCCGTTGGTAATGTCCGCCCGGGAGATAAATTATCGGACCAAGCTTTGTTTTGCAAACGTCACGAGTTATTTTGCGGCCTGTGGTTGGTCCATGAGGCTTACAAATAAAGAAGAATTAAAATTACTGTAGAAATTGTCTGTGAGAGCAGGGGTGCCATAATTTGAATTATAAGTTCACCTCAATTTCCATAACAATTGGGACTGATCTCAGAAATTACTTACTTTTAATGATTCTACAGAAATCAGTTTGTAATAAAACTTCAGAATTTCAAAACTAATTACTTTTTTTGTGAGAGTGATGGTTTTAAAAGCATTCCCCTCGGCTCATAAAATTTGAAACAGAAGGTATTATTTACCTATTTTGCTGCACGTACCGTATTGCGTTGACGAAAACGAACCGCACATCAAACATCGCTTCATCAAAATCAAGAAAATGGCCCGCGTGTCTAAGATATTGATCTTATTTCCGTTTCTCATCGAAACTTATTTCCGTTTCTCAAATAATTTATCAGGTACTATATACAGGCTTTATTGATGAGAAAAATGACTTCTTTTGAACAATAAATGCCGTTTGTCTTTTCCATTGGCATAATGTCCTTTAAGACTGTTCAAGATCTCTAGTAGCCTTTCATGAGCATATAAAATTCAACTTTCGTGAAAATTATTATTTTGTTGATTAATCGAAGTGTTCCAAGCCAAGTGGGAATCTTAAAAATTACATATTTTTTTTTCATCACACCTGTCACGTCGAGTAGCGCTGATTTGCAAGATATGGAATCTAACGTACTTTTTAATGATAAATACCGACCTACCTTAATATTATGGCCTCAGGTGCGGTCTGTGTATTAGGAAAACAAAAACACAGCTCTCACTAGCGAGTTTAAGATATCCTCAGAGAAAATCCTCTCTTTTCTTTTCTAAAGTATGTTTCCGTCAAGCTATGGCAAAGTTAATGGATTTTTTTAATCCCTGGTTTGACTTTTGAAATGAACGCTATTTGTGATGCCCGCACCAACCAATAAAATTTAAGCACTATCTACTCAATTAAAAGCAAACGTTCACTTTCGTGGACATGTCGCGAAAAATGCTTGGTCATTCACATCTCATTTCCTAAAATAAACTGATCTTTTATCATACAATACCCCGACAGGTATGCCACAAAATGAAGGTTCTAGCCGGCATTGTGACTTATCTATTGTACCACTTATCGCTGTTAATTAATTGCTGTTTGTGTTGAATCAGTCAAAAACGGAATAATTTATGTAAGTTTTCCGTAGAAGTTATGTGCACTCAGTATTTCCTAAAGGATTGACGAGTTATTTTGAATAATACCTAACCTTGCTTTTGTTGCAGTCAGAAAATTCTGTTGCCAACTCAAGGATAAGAATTGAACTGAAAAGAGAGCTGGGTTCTACACACCCTCACAGAATCAATTTCTATCCAGAATGTAAATCTGTGTTTTATTTTGTTTTTAAACGTTTTCAATTTCAAGTTTCAAATATGTGTCTCAGCTGACTTCGAGGTATTTTCGTCAAACCTATTATGGAGGTGGATATCAAATAGTAATGACTTTTTTTGCACATCCACCATTCACCTCACAATACCGATAATTATCAAGTTGCGGCAAACCATACAGAAAATCATTATAACTCATTGGAAGGAAATGTAAACAGAAAAGGAATATCACAGCGCAAGGCTTGCTTTCTGTCTTTTTTTTTAAGTTTATTTTGCTGTTATTACAAAAGGTGGGCGAGTTAAAAGATTTAAAAGCGAATGTAAATTTAACCACATCTCATTTATTTTTCCTTTATACGTTTACTTCTACCTGAAGGTAATTGACGTAAATAATCTTAATACATCACTCCAGCAAACAGGGCCTGAAAAAGACAATGTGAAGTTATTATCAAGAGGGTGCACGTGATATAAAATCAAATTCTCTAACTTATCTCACAGGGAAACGTCAACGCCTGGCTCTTAAATGGGAGAATTACTTTTCAGATATTTGAAGTTGATGGAACTGCATCGCAACAGCCTCCGTCGTCGGCTGATATGCAACATATCTTTCAGCCAGAGATGCTGATTTAGATTGGTAGTAAACAAAAATGCCAAATGGGGAAAATGGGTCATAAAGAAACGGATGGTGAAATGTGGAGAAATGGACATGGCATGGATTGGAAAAGACAGACGTGAAAGTTTGATGCTGGATTTATAAAGATATGTAAACCATTATGTAACAGGTAAAGCATTGAGTTTAGTTTACGGACTGAGAATTCTTAACGAGAGTCTGGTGTAAAAATACTATTTGTGTCGAAGGGAATGATGATACATCTCCTTACACAAATGAATTAAAAAGGAGCCTAGAATCATATTCATAGTTCTTGGTCTAGGATTCCGACCGATCAGTACACGCTAAGAGCGCGCGCTGGTCAAACATTTCACAGTATTTATGACGCATGCATCTTACGTACGCATACGTTTAGTTTCACATAATCAAAATAAAATTCACCTGAATCACCTTAGAAATGTCGTTTGCAACTAGAAATACTTGCATATGCAGCAGCTGTTTTAAAAGACAGCACGAAATTATTGTTAACGACCAACGGCATGCTAAAAGCGGGAAGAGGTGTGTCATTAAGCCATGGACACCTTCCTCAGCCAAAGAAATTGAGAAAAATGTTTGGAAAGTGTATCAAGAAAAGTTGAAACTTCAAGTTACCCGTGGATGCCAGCGATTAGGTAAAAAATCAATCGACTACATTGAGGTTGTCCGCAAAATTTGTCCTTCAGAGATATTTGTGGAAAAACCAACCAGTGCTAACAGCCGGTCTTTGATTCTGGATGTGAACTGCCAGAACTTTTGGGATTTTGTCTATGGGCAGTCATGGAAAGGAAGAGTAAGAGTTTGCGAAGGAGAGCTGATGTATAAACTGAGAGAGACACTGAAAATGCTTGTTAGTCAGGAAAAAATTACATATTTTACTGTAACAAGGATGTTTACAAACCACGAATACATCGTCCCCAAGGTAAAAGTATCTAGTATTTGTCTTTGATAAATTACCTTAACATGATACTTTAATTGGTGCTGTTGTATCAACGTCATTTGTTTAGGGTGACTGAAACCATGCCAGCCGCACATAAGGACCTAAATTTGACGATAATTTATTCCCCTGCATATGATTTTCGAAAAGACATCAGGCAATTCCATGGTGTCCAGGTAGACACATCTTGATGCGAGTGAGCAAGAAGTTTATCACCCACTTTTAACTAATATCACTCTGATTGCCCATAGAAAACTGCATTGCAGTGATGTTAATATCCCTGATACAATTACACTACGTGAAGCTTTCTCTGTCACGGTGTCTTAAATCATCTCATACCTGAATCTGTTTTCCTATTAAGTTAGTTGTTTCTTTATGCGTTATACGTTTATCAAATTAGTCCCCAGGGCTTGTAGTACGAGTGGAACAAACTTATTATGGAGGCGTACCAAAGAAGACAAAGAAAACAGTTAGATGGAACTTGGTTCCAGATAGCACGTTTACACCGCGCCTGAAATGTGTATCACCCATTCTTAAAAATGCATGGGACAAGACTGCAACTCCTTTCCTTAAAAGTAAAGCCCCAGATGTCAAACGTTCCGATATGGAAAATGAGCCCACGATGCGCCGATTTTCAACCAACGGAAACGAGCCCGAGAGAATGTTTAATTTAAGCGAAACTTTCGCAAAAGGAGACTTTGCGACAATTTGCCTCCAAGCTACTGAGCATTTTATAGTTGTGAGAGAAATGGTCACTAATAGTAGAACCATGAATTCGTCAACGTCGTTCACATTCAGAAGAAAGGAGAATTTATGTGGAACAAGCAAGATTGCTAAGACAATGAATGATTTCTACACTTCTGAAACCCTTGCTGAAAATTTCGCTAAAAAACCGGAGTTTAAACCAAGTACCCCTCTGCTGGAGATGAAAATTTAATCTGTGATTAGAAGAAAATTTGCCTATAATCACAAGAACAGTGCCAGAGTTACTAAATGTTCCTTATTTTTGAACTTCAATAAAGTTCGTCGATAGAACTAAAAAATGCTATCGAAACAATCGTTAACTACAAAATTAACCTTGTGATATTTTAATTCCATTGCAAAGGGTTTGGTAATTTCTCATCCATGTCTTCACCTGCAATTTCTGTAGCCTAAACGTTTAAAACTAAGCAAAATATTGACCTGTAGTTAGTTTCTTCCTTTCAGTTGTGTGAAACTCCAGATTTGTAATTAATTAAGTAATTATCAAAGGTTTTTTTTTCTTGGTCTCACGTTTGTACTCGACGATGACGGCATGGAAATTTGACATGCTAAGAAAATCTGTCAGGTGTAGGACGTGCCTCAATTATTATTTATCACCTAAGAATGAGAAAATGGTGTCGAAATAAAAGCTTTCATCGTTTCTATATCACGTTGACGTCTTTTGTTATGCATGACTAGAATTTAACATCCATACGTCGTACAACTGATTCGGAAAAAAACGATTTTAAAATTTCTTTATTGGCCACAGCGAAGGCAGCATATACTCAATGAAATTTATTTAATTAACCTCGTGGATTTTCAGTTTTACTTTTTTAGTGCGTAATATAATTTATTGTTTAGGAAAACAACAAATTGGAAATTTCATTGGGCGAAGGTTTTTCCTATTCACAACGATCCTTTGTGGTCAAATTGTTAGGAAAGTGGAGACAGGTGTAAATGTTTTATCACTTGGTTGGGAAAGTTCTACGAGCCACAGCGCTAATTAAAGCTCTTTAAAGCAGCAAGTAAACGTAAACTGCGGTCACTCGTAGCATACTAGTGGTTAGTACTTGAAGCTCTTGTAAAGACATGAGGACAAGCTTTTTGTTGGGTTCTGTGCAAAACAGAACGAATAATCATTTTAAAGAAGCGAGGAACAAAATGTTGGAGCCTGCAACGGTGAATCAAGCAAAAAATGTTAATCACAAAATATCCAGTTCCTCGAAAAAGCTGTCGAGAGTGAACAGTTTTGCAAAAGAAGAGGACATGGAAAGGATTTTGGAGGAGGTTGAGACTGGCAATTTGTACAGCCCCTCGTCTAAAAACGCCAAGAAACGTCCGTCTGTTGTAGACGAAGATTCGCAGCGTCCAGACGAGGAACTCGAACAATTTTTTCTGGATGTGGAGAAGAGAAATGCAGAGCTACAAGAATTGCTTCAACTTGTTGAAACCACAAGACAAGAAAACGAAGGGCAGATTTCAAGAGAAGCTTCCGCAGGTGTGAGGGGAAGTACGGACTCCCTGGTTGAAAAACTCATGCGTGATTTAGAGAATGTGGGCTGGGAGAAGAGTAATTTTAACAGCGGAACCGTAGAGAGACCGAAAAGCTCGAGCGAAGCGTGTGATGGAACAAATTGCGCAAAACTCCGAGCCAGCGCATCGGAAGAAGAACTCGATGAGATGCTAGCAGAGCTCTTGGAATTGTGATAAGGAAATAAAGACCTAAAAAAGGTTATTGATTAAAGTTCGCAAATTTAATTTTGTCAATAAGAAGTTTTAATTATTAAGTTTGAGTTCTTAAGAAGAACATGAACCAGTGTATATTCTAAAGCCATATGACGCAAGATTTAGATGTAAAATCCAACTTCAATCAAAAAAGAGGTGGTTGAAGGATTTTTTTTCTGTTTGTAAACAAGATTTTTGAATTGTGTTTTTATAAAGTTCCTATGACTACAGCTATCTACTGCAGTGTCTAACCGCTAAAATTAGGCTTATTGTGTGATATAAGCGGTTCCCCATTTGTTAACATGCCTACTTGCATTGATTTATGTGATTTAAAGCAATCCAAATCTTACGCTCCCATAAGACAAGTCGAGGTTATTGCCTGTCAAGATTTCTTTTACAACAAAGGAATATTTGATTCTGTTCCCGAGC